CTATTAAACATCCCGGGTATGATAAAATTTGAAACACAAAATCATAAATTATAATTTAATAAATAATCATAAAAAATAACAATATAATAATGTTACATTTAATTCAAAAAAATAATCAAACCAAAAACACTGAAATTTGAAATATAGCGCCAAGGTCGCACATTGCTGAGCAAAGTCGCAAAATTGTTTTCAGTGTCTGATGACAAATTTCTCCACGAATCATTATCACTCAATTCTGCAAGTGGTTCTGATTTACTATCGCTGTTCTCTAGCTGGTCTAAATCTGCTTTTGACCTAAAGGGACACTTTTTGGACGCCATGGACTTTTCTAAGTTTCCAGGCAGAAAGATCATTCAAAATGCAGACAGGGGACAGGACAGAGCACTCGGGACAAAATGTATGTGAAATGGGTTGAAACAGCAATGTTTTACTATGAAAAATCGTTTTGAAAAAAATTATTTTTTTTTAATTTTCAAATTTCCCCGCCGCCGCCGGCGGCGGCGCCCGTACGTCCCGACGTCACATGGACCGGAACACAGGAGACGGATGCCGGCATCTGCCAGAGGAGATGGCCGGGGACACACCGCGGGAGCAAAGGACAAGGTAAGTGCTGCAGGGACCCCCTGAGCAACGCCGCATGGTAAGCCCGAGTGTAGCTCGGGGTTACCGCTTTTGGTATAGAAATTTTACCCCGAGCTACACTCGGGAATACCGTTAGGGAGGTTAAAGTAACGCAGTGCCGTATAGCAAAAAATGGTTATTTTAACTGACAATTGCACGGTCATGCAACACTGCACCCAAATGAAATTTATGTCCTCTTTTCCCCACAAAAAGAGCTTTCTTTTGGTGGTATTTGATCACCTCTGCGGTTTTTACTTTTTGTGCTATAAACAAAAAAAGACCAACAATTTTGAAAAAAAACCTAGTATTTTTTATTTTCTGCTATAAAACATATCCAATAAAAATTTTTTAATCTAATTTCTTCATAAATTTAGACCAAAATGTATTCTGCTACATATTTTTGGTAAAAAAAATCCAAATAATTATATATTGATTAGTTTGCGCAAATGTTATAGAGTCTACAAACTATGGTACATATACTGGAATTTTTTTTTTTTGATAGTAATTGTGACAATCAGCGACTTATAATGGGACTGTGATATTGCACAGGGGCGGACTGACCATTTGGAAACTCAGACACTGCCCGAGGGCCCGGGGTCAGTAGGGGGCCCCATGAGATGCCCCTTGTACCCTTTTCACAGGCTTTTTTTTGAGTTTGGGCAAGGACACAGGGGCCCCATGATTCCCTATTGCCCGGGGGCCCCATGAGTTGTCAGTCCGCCCCTGATATTGCAGCGAACGTTTTGCACTAACCGACAATTTGTGGGAACCAGTGACGCTAACACAGTGAAGTGATTAAAAGAGTGCTAGTGTAGTTGGTATAAACATTGCTGCGGGCCAGCCAAAACGCGTGCGCTAGATGCAAGTGCAAGAAAAGAGTGATGTGAAACTCTATGGGACCCCAAACCCTTAGTGTTTTTCTGGCACCCCTGGGCCACCACCCCAGGGGGCAAATCACTAGGAGCCTCTTGTGCCTCACAGCCCCTGACCAGACAAATGCAGTTACCTTACCAAAAAGGCATTAGAACAGAGGGAGTGCCAGCCTGTGGGTAGGTGTAGTGTGGTGCGGTGGCAGTGAGCACACTGAGTCCGGTTGCAATTAACAAAACTTGTATTAGCCACTTGCCCTCCAGAGGATTTACCCCCCTTCCTGACCAGGTCATTTTTTTGTGTTAAGGTGCTGTGTTACTTCAATGGACAACTGCGCGGTCAAGCAACGCTGCACCCAAATTAAATTTACGTCCTTGTTTTTCCACCAATAGAGCTTTCTTTCAGTGTTATTTGATCACCTGTGCGGTTTTTATTTTTTGTGCTATAAAAAAAAAGACTGGCAATTTTGAGAAAAAAAATATTTTTTGCTTTTTGCTATTAAACATGCCTAGTATAAAAAATGTAAAAAATCTAATTTCGTCATAAATTTAGGGCAAAATATATTCTGTTACATGTCTTTGCTAAAAAAAATCCCAATACGTGTAAATTAATTGGTTTACATGAAAGCTATAGCGTATAGTATAGATACTGAGTTTTTGTTTTTTTATTTTTACTAGTAGTGGCCGCGATATTTGACGTATAGAGAAACGCGGCGGACATTCTGACACTTGGGGGAACTGACACTGACATCCCCAGTGACACCAATACAGTGATCAGTGCTAATGAAAAGCACTGAGACTGTACTAATGGCACTGGGCAGGAAGGGGTTAACGTGGGGCGATCAAGGGGTTGACGGTGTGCCGTTTTACTATGTGTGCTGTGTTAGTGCTTCACTGTAAGCACACTGCTTTGCATGGCAGTGTGCAGGAGCTGACATATGTGATTTTGCACACAGCTGCCGACCTGTAGCAGTCTAACTGCTATGGGACGGCGCTAAAGTGGTTTAAAGGAAAGGCTCAATTATACAGACAGCCCAGCAGGACAAAACCATGCTGGAAGCCACTCACAGTTCCGTGAAACTTGGGAATGCAGTAGGTTCAAATGCACTAACAGTGTCTGTCTCAGAGGGTTGAGTACAGCCTGGAAGGTCTGGTCTCAAAGGGGGGGTCCCAATGCAGAATGGTGTGTCCCTATTCATCTGGAACCTTCTCCCTGCTCTTTTCCTACACTACCCACTTTGCAAAAACATGGGGGCAGGCACTTAAAAAGCCTCTGCTGACCCAAGATGGCCTCCAGGATCTTCTGAATGCTGTGTAGCCAACCTGAAGCACTGCCTCAAGGGACCAGGAAACCATAGAGAAACCAGGTTTCTCCTGACTTCTTCTCCAGCTGTTGCACGACTCTGGTCAAGCGCCACCCACAGTGGAGAAAGTAGACTGCACCTGCCTACAACCGGGGACAATACTACTCAACCAGGCCAAATTCATCACGGGAGGAAGAGATCCCATCCCAGTATCCAACTTGATACATCAAAAATTACTGACCAGTGCCACCAGTCAAAGGGACACCAGTGTTCTGTCCCCAAAAACTGATATCACACTTGATTTTAGCCAAAAGGCAATGTTTACCTATGAGGTAAGCATACCCCCTATGAATAGGTGCGGTTGCACGAAACGCATCAGAGAGGAGCTACAGTGCAGAGACGTCTTGCCGCCGGCACCACGTGGGTCCCGGCGGCCATCTTGGATACCATATACGGTCAGTAGCTGTTATTTCTTGTTCTGCTGAATAAATTCATCATATTGGAAGCAACATTACGCTATTGGGCCTCCTTTTTTTCTGGGGCTCCCTGGGAGCCTCTCACTACCCACATAGCCACATACTATTAAACCAGAGCCATAGCTGAGCAGGCAGAGGACAACAGAAAACCTGACCATATCCTGGAGGGAATTCCTGAGTTAACCTTAAGAGGGGTATCTCTTACATGCGCATACTGATTGTGCATTTGGTGAGTGCGCAATCTTTTATCAGTTTGGACACCATCACCCTCTTATCATACTGCTGGAATCCCTTTTGATTTTCCAATCACCTAACCCACTGGACTATATTTTCACACTTATCACTTGGTCAGTCACAGCAGAGTGACACTAATGATATTTATATATGTGGACTATATATTAATTTTTTGGCACTTTATATGCACTTATATATGTTATGCGTGATAATTGAACACACTAAGTCACGTTTATATCTATACATTTTTCTGAAGCACTTTATTATACTCTTATCATATATCTCCTAGATTGTAAGCTCAAAAGAGTAGGGCCCTCGATCCCCTCATGTTTTGCATTGTATTGGTATTGTTCTGTCCCCCTTTGTAATGTGCAGCGCTGAGCGAACCATTGGCGCTTTATAAATACTGTATAATAATAATAATTTATGTTATATACGTGATTTGTGATATTTTAAGCGCTGCACCTTCCGTTTACATGATTTCCTGAAGGTTTTTTTGTGTGATACCTTTTGGTGTTCAGCGGCTGTAGTGACCTTTGAGCGCTCACTTACCTATTACGTGCAATGCATTGCTACTGACTTTTATGGGCTTCACAATGCAATAAAGTGAATGAGCTTAAAGCGGAGCTCCAATCAAAATGTAAAAAAACAAAAGTCAGCAGCTACAAAAATTGTAACTTCTGACTTTTAAAAAAACGATATTAGCCTGTCCCGCAATCCAGTGGTATCCACACCGCAGCCGGTTTCACTGGACGTACTCGGTCATTGACGCTGACATTCGAATTGTGGCTTCACAGCCGGGAGCCCAGTGCACTGCACTTTGTGAATGGTGCCGCAGTCTTCTGTGAGTTGGGAGGACAACATTCGCCTCAGGGAGCATGTACCTGTAAAAATTGGGTACCTGCTACCCAAAGGCGTCAATCCTTAATGGAGAGTGGGGGAGGAGGACTTTAAGTGGAACTTCCCCTTTCGTGTGGGGCTCCGCTGTAAAGACGTGATACAAATGGAATATTATTGTTTCATTACTCTACCAGAATTTTTGTCATGACATTGACCCTTCTATATAGAAGTTAGGTATCATTCTATAGCTATGAGGGTGGACAAAGAAGCGTCTGAACGTTCTCCTCAGAGGAGCCAGGCCGGTCTATTACCCCACAGACCAAGGAAGGGCAAACCACGTGACCCCACACTCGCATGTTCCCCAAGTTCCGCCAGCAACCTGTCGCTGAGGAACTACAAGTTTCATGCTGTCAGCTCGTCACTGCATTGTTGTGAGGGTGGTCGCCATGAGCCCAGGACAAAGCCAGCCATACGTGTGCCCATGAGACCATTTCACCCATGACCCTAGCCTTGAACGTGCGTGTATCCGCCTCTTGTCCCCGGCGTGATCCCTCCCTCTCTCCCTTCGTGTGAAGCTTGGCGGGCGGCGTTGGCGCGCTAGGCTTTGCGGTGTGTCGGCTCTGTCTCGCAGCCTTTACCTCGTTGTTCCCGGTGTCATGGCGCAGAGCACCGCCGGCCCTCTCCCTACCGTTCAGGCAGGCCTAAGGGAGGCCCTGCTGGAGACGCTGAGCGGTATTCTGTCCCCGGGACATGAGGTGCGGGCAGCGGCGGAGGAGCAGCTGAAAGTGCTAGAAGTGACAGAGGGTGAGTGCGGTCCTCGGGTGACGAATGAATGGGATGATGGCAGCCAGGGCTGAATGCGCTCATTATGGGCTCATAGGGTGCCTGGATGGTGCACTACAATCACCACAACTTCCCATACAGGATGTGCACCGGTCCCACAGGGAATAGGAACTGTGGCCATCATAGGGCTGGGCTACACCGATGATCGCTCCTTCTTGAATTATTTCTAAATAAATGACTGTATTAACGAAGGTGCAGGTTTTCCAAAGAATGTTATAAAAGACTTTCCCCCTGTAAAGCTGGCCATACATTACAATCTGATTCTATGATAGTACTGCACTATGGAAGTTAGGAAGCTTGGATTATACACCCCTTGAGGGTTAGGGACTGATGTGAATGTACAATATATATGTAAAGTGCTGCGCAAATTGACAGCGCTATATAAGTACCTGAAATAAATAAATGAGCGTCAGCATATAGGAAAAGACCTTGACGGCCAGTTCACACTACATGCATTTCAGTTGCTTTTTATTCTGCATCCAGAACGCACAGAAAGTAGGTTATATGGTTGTCAGTGTCCGTTCACATCAGTGCTTGCAGTTCCAGTGCGTTCTGGTTGCAGAAAAAAAGTAGAACATGCTGCATTTTTGATGCACTGGAATGTGGTAAAACGCACCAGATATGCGCTGGAAAATACATGTCCCTATTTAAACAAAAAGACGGGAAAAATGAACTGGAATGCATTAAAAACGCTCCGGAATGTTTAAAAAAACGTGCATTCAGAAACGCATCTGGACTGCATTTCTATAGTGTGAACCGAACCCGAGAGCTGATTCACACGTGCGGTGCGGATTGAAGCTCAAGTTTCACAGCTAATTGATATATAGTAGTTGTTCATATCAGGTTCAGGACAGGATTAGGTCAGGATTTTATCTAGTGGCGCACCGAAATAAAAATTCTGGTAGCGAAATTGGAAATTCAGGATGTACTTGGCCAAAAACCGAAATGGACAGTTTTTTAAAAATTAATATATTTTTCAAAGGCAATTTTTTTGGAAAAAAATACACTTTAATAATGGAAAAAAACCAAAACACAATATATACCCCCAATTTTTTTTGTAAAATATGAAAGATGTTACGCCAAGTAAATAGATACCCAACATGTCATGCTTTAAAATTGCGCATGCTCTTGGAATGGCGTCAAACTACGGTGCTTAAAAATCTCCATAGGTGACGCTTTAAAAATTTTCTACAGGTTACAGTGTAAAGTTGCAGGGGAGGTCTAGTGCGAGAAATATTGCTCTTGCTCTGACGTTCGTGGCGATACCTCACGTGTGGTTTGAACACCGTTTACATATGTGGTCTCCCTATACGTTCACCACTATGTGCGAGGATAGGGGCACTTAAAACTTTTATGTAATTTTTTTTTTCACACTGTCCCTTTAAAAAAAAGGTTTAATCACTTTTTTTCCTATCACAAGGAATGCATGCATCCCTTGTGATAGAAATAATTAGTGACAGGTCCTCTTTATCTCTCCTCTACAATGTAAAGCATTAGATCAAAAAAAGCAATGATCTAGTGCTTTAAAAACAAAAAGGGCCTTGTTTATAAGGCGTTGGAGCCGAAAGTTACATCACTCCGGTCTTCCAAGGGCATAGAGATGAGTGGAGGCCATCTTTCCTTCACTTAGCTCTATGCTCAGCGTCGGGATCATTCGGTGGTTTCTCAGGTAAGGCTGAGAACTACCAAGCGGTGGCAGGAGCAGTGAGGGGGCAGGGTTATTTTCATATCGGCCAATGGCTGATAGGGGTGGTTTTGGCCACCGAAATTTCGTTGCATCCCTAATTTTATCCTGTTCACACATATGCGGTTTAGAAACCGTTCCCATAGAAGTCAATAGCCTGTAATCCACACCTGAACCTGAAGGCACTGCTCAGAAATCATACAGGACTCTTTTTCAAACCGCACTGAATCCGCACCGCCAGTGCAACAGACATACAGTGGATATAAAAAGTCTACACACCCCTGTTAAAATGTCAGGTTTCTGTGATGTAAAAAAAATGAGACAAATCATTTCAGAACTTTTTCCACCTTTAATGTGACCTATAAACTGTACAACTCAGTTGAAGAACAAACTGAAATCTTTAAGGTGGAAGGATGAAAAAAAAAATAAAATAAAATAATTAGGGTTGCATAAGTGTGCACACCCTTAAACTAATACTTTGTTGAAGCACCTTTTTGATTTTATTCCAGCACTCAGTCTTTTTGGGTATGAGTCTATCAGCATGGGACATCTTGACTTGGCAATATTTGCCCACTCTTCCTTGCAAAAACACTCCAAATCTGTCAGATTGCAAGGGCATCTCCTGTGCACAGCCCTCTTCAGATCACCTCACAGATTTTGGATCGGATTCAGGTCTGGTTTCTGCCTGGGCCTTTCTGAAACTTGAATCTTCTTGTGAAGCCATTGCTTTGTTGATTTGGATGTACGGTATGTTTTGGGCTGTCATGCTGAAAGATGCAGTTCCTCTTCGTGGTCCGCTTTCTAGCAGAAGCCTGATGGTTTTGTGTCAATATTGACTGGTATTTGGAACTGTTCATAATTCCCTCTACCTTGACTAAGGTTCCAGTTGAAGAAAAACCAGCCCCAAAGCATGATGCTGCCACCACCATGCTTCACGGTGGGTATGATGATCTTTTGATGATTGGCAGTGTTATTTTGTGCCAAACATCTTTTGGAATTATGGCCAAAATGTCCAACCTTGGTTTCATTAGACCATAACTCTTTTTCCACATGGTTTTGGGAGATTTCAGATTTTTTTTGCAAAATTTAGCCAGGCTTGGATGTTTTTCTTTGTAAGAAAAGGCTTCCATCTTGCCACTCTACCCCCCATAGCCCAGACATATGAAGAATTGTCACATGTACCACACAGCCAGTACTTGCAAGATATTCCTGCAGCTCCTTTAATGTTGCTGTAGGCCTCTTTGCAGCCCCCCAGACCAGTTTTCTTCTCATCTTTTCATCCATTTTTGAGGGACATCCAGTTCTTGGTAATGTCACTGTTGCGCCATATTTTCACCACTTGATAATGACTGTCTTCACTGTGTTCCATGGTATATCTAATGCCTTGGAAATTCTTTTGTACCCTTCTCCTGAATTATACCTTTTAACAATGAGATCCCTCTGATGCTTTGGAAGCTCTCTGCAGACCATGGCTTTTGCTGTAGGATGCGACTAAGAAAAAGTATTTTGGTTTTTTTTTTACATCCCTCCACCTAAAAAGATTTCAGTTTGCTGTTCAACTGAGTTATACAATTAATAGGTCACATTAAAGATGGAATAAGTTCTGAAATGATTTATCTTTGTCTCATTTTTTTACATCACAGAAACTTGACATTTTAACAGGGTGTGTAGACTTTTTATATCCACTGTATGTGAACAGGCACCATAGGAAGCCATGCTTTTTCACATCATGCAGATTGGATGCGGTCCAAACTGCATCCAATCTGCTTACATGTGAACCAGCACTGAAGGATGAGCACAGGCGTAATCAGATCCTAGTGTGAACCCACCAGGAAGCCGTCAGCGTACCAGGTCAATTAACTGCAGCTAGGGAATTCCCTGAAGTCATACATATACAAGAGGCATATATGCATGCTGCAGATAATTGGCCCAGAACAATGACAGCTTCCTAGTGAGCTCAGTCACAAGGGTTCAGACTGGGATCCAAACACGCCCAAGCTTATCTCCACATGCCGCAGCAAACATGCCAAGTTTGATAGGCGACACCACCTGTCAAACGTATTCATTGGGAACTTTGACAGGTCAGTGGAGCAGCGCTGCAACTGCAAGTCAAACCTTTGGGCAGTAGTTGCAACACAACGGGGTTGATTTACTACCTGGAAAGTGCAAAATCTGGTACAGATATGCATGGCAGCCAATCAGCTTCTAACTTCAGCTTGTTCAGTTAAGCTTTGACAATAAAACCTGGAAGCTGATTGGTTTCTACTCAGAACTGCACCAGATTTTGCACTCTTCAATTTTAGTAAAAGTTTCTATAACAAATTTCCCCATTTGGCTGGGGAAAAAAAACAGCCAGAAAAAAACAAGCATTTCAGAGGTGACAGGCTCTTTTCCTAAACACCTAGAAGCCACTGATCCGCTGATCAAAGTGATCCACTGCCAATAATTTTTTAGGCTGCATTCACACTTGGGCGATTTGTAGCTGGAAGCTTGAAACTCCAAAAATGTTCAAACTTTAAAAAAAAAAAAAATCAATTGTTCTCTAGGGTGCCTGTTCACACTTCATCACACGAACAGGCACCAGAGAGAACGATTGATTTTTTTTCTTTTTAAGTTTGAGTGTTTTCCAGCTTTAAGCTGCAAATTGCTCAAGTGTGAATGCAGACTTATGCAGGCCATAGATGGGTCGAAAACCGGCCGTTTTAAAAAAAAAAAAAACAAACAAAAAAACGAAAAATCGGTCGTTCAATAGGCCGACGTTACCACCAACAGTAAAAAAGAATCGGCCAATTTTTGTCCCGTCTACGGCCGGCATTTAATTCTGTCCCTTTAGAGAGCTCCGCTATTATATTTGACATGAAAAAGTATTGCGGTTGCAACATTGTATCTATTTGTATCCATTTTGGATACAGATGGTTTTATTCGGATACAAATAGATACATTGTTGCAACCGCAATGCTTTTTCATGTCAAATATAATAGCGGACTGGAATTCTTCTTCTACTCCTCCCTCCCCCCTCCTATATTTTTCCAACTTTACCGATAAAAAAAAAATGTGCCAAAATCCAGAAAAATGGCCGACCAATTAACCCAATAACGGTGTGAAAATCGGCGGTTTTTTTTTTTTTTCGACCCATCTATGGCCTGCATTAAGAGGTTGATAGAAACTACCACCAGCCTGAAAGAGGCCTAATTAGGAATGCACGATACCAGTTTTTGAAGACTGAGTACAAATACTTTTTCTTAAGTACTTGCTGATACCAATTTTTAGAGTCATGTGACAGTTTTTTTTAGACTAATGAAAAAATTATTACCAACTCAAAAGACATTGCCATGGTGATGCAGTGGTATCCCAGCAGTGTATGAATTTATATATTTATTTACAAGTTAAATTTAATTGTTTTTAGTTTTTTTAAGAGATGTATTGCCAGTTTAAAAAAAGACACATAGGTAGTGTAAGGGCATACCCAATTGGATATACAGTGAACTAAATGTTATTGTAGCGTTTTTGCATTACATAGTTAATAAATCAGATTGAAATGTGTGTGACCAGCTTGCATCAGTTTTTGAAGCATCAGGGTACAAAACATTCATTATGTAGAGGCTAAAGTTTTACTGACCCTAATAAGGCTTACCCTAGTATGTGTCCACACAAGACTTTGGCTATTTTAGATACAAGTCCACAGAGCAGGGGTGGCCAATTAATTTTTCCAAAGGGCAAAATGATTAACTGGGAATTTTGTGGAGAGTTGAACTGCCTATCAAATGCCCTCTAAAAAGCACTGTAACTGAAAGGAGAGAGCCAGAGATTGGTGCAGTGGGGATTTCTGCAGATCCTGCCCTGGAGTGAAGAACAAGTGCATGGTTCCAGGGGTTTGGGGCAGCGTGTAGACACTAACATGAGGGTTACCACCTCATCCCTTTAAAACCGAACATATTTATTACACAGGTTCTGTGGCTGAATAAGTAGGTAATTAAATTCACTTAGTGCCCTAAAATAGCCTCAGTACCTGTGTAATTAAAATGTTCAGTTTTAAAGGGATGAGGTGGCAATCCTAACTAACAAAGGAAGAATTTGGCAGAGTAACAAAGTAGCAGAAGAGCGTTGGGACATCTAGGCAATGCTCTCCTGCCAGAACCAAGTCACCCCACTGTACTGATCAGGTCCTAAGGCTCTCTCCTTTCAATTCTTGCAGCGGTCTACATGGACATCTGTCAGTATACCTCCCTGAGCATGATGGAGGAAGCTGACAGGCTCAGAGAGGCATATTGACAGTGGAGGCATCGAGGGCCGGATAGTTGAAGCCAAAGAGCCAGATGTGGCCCTGGGACCACAATTTGCCCAGGTCTGCAATAGAGGATAGTGTTTTTTACTGTCTATATCATCTTTGAAAGCAAATGTAATCAGCCCCAGGGTTAAAGCGTTACTAAGGCTACTTTCACACTGAGGAGTTTTGGAAGCATTTTTTTGCGGTTAAAAAACAAAACAAAAAAAGAGCTGGAAAAGCTGAACAAAAATGCTTCCCTGTGTATGTGAATGTATATCTATGTATGTTTTCACACTGAGGTGTTGCGGTGTGGTGTAAAAACTCCTGCAGCATCTTTGGGGCATGTTTGGTGAGTTACAAAAAAAAAAAAAACGTCCCCAAAATGTCTTTCCATTGATATCAATGGAAAATGCCTGAAAAGCGCCTCAAAAACACCTTTGGTGCAGTTTTTAAGTCACGCATCCTTTAAAAAATGCTCAGCGCAGTAAAACACCTATGCATTTTTGCTGTTTTTTTATGGCGGATCAGTATGAAAGTAGCCTTAAGGCTTAAAGCGGAGCTCCACCCAAAAGGGGAAGTTCCGCTTTAAGGACTGCTGCTCCCTCCCCGCTCCCCATTAAGGATTGGCACCTTTGGGGAGCGGGGGGTACCTGAATTTGACAGGTACCAGGTACCCGCTCCCGATCCGATTGCCTAGGCGTTTGGAAACGGAAGGTGTACTCTCTCCCTCACTGTAGTCTTGTGGGACACGTGACAGGTCCCAGAAGACTACAGGACTATTCATGAAGTGCAGCGCTACTCGCGCATGCGCAGTGGGTGCCTGGCTGTGAAGCCGCAAGCTATTACAGCTGGGTGCCCACAGTGAAGATGCCGGCCTCCTGGGGGCACACCACGGGACCGAGGGACAGGTAAGTGGCTGTTTTTTAAAAGTCAGCAGCTACAGTTTTTGTAGCTGCTGACTTTTATTTTTTGATAGGTCAAGTGGTACTCTGTTTTAATTTTTTTTTTTTTTCCTAAAAAAAAACCCAAACATGTCTATACTTGCTGTGTGTAGTGGTTTTGCACAGAGCAGCCCAGATCTTCCTCTTCTTGGGTCCCCTGCAGGCTCTCCAGGCTCCTCCCTCCAAGAAGCTTGCTATGGAGCACCCGCTGTGCTGTGTGTCCATTCACACACGGACTTGTGGCTTGGCCCTGCCTCTTCTCTCTTCTCATTGGCTCACTGATATGATTGACAGCCAATGAGGAGAGGGCAGTCCTGGAATAGCCAAGACTCCAATGCACATGGCTGGATCGAGTTTGGGCTTAGGTGAGTGTTAGGGGTGGCTGGGGGCCCTGCTGCACAGAGAAGGTTTTTTTACCTTCATGCATAGAATGAAGGTAAAAAACCTTGAGATTTTACAATCACTTTAATAGAGCTCCATACCCCCTGCCTAAATGATAAAGTAAGCTTACAGCAAAAGTACTTTAGCACAATCATAGGGGATGTGAACATTAAGGTGGTATTAAAGTTTAAAATTAAAAAAAAAAACCCTGACAGGCAGGGTTTTTATGGCAGAAGAGTCTCCTTCAACCTCTTCTGCTATAAATGCTTCCTCCTACTTGTTAGCGGTGATGTACACTGAGCTGTGCATGTGCAGCTCAGAATACATTCTGGCACTCGCTCTACAATGTGACTTGTGTGCTTGTGCAGGAGTGACGTTAATGCATCCTGATCATTCAAGCTGCTGAACAGAGCGAATCCGGAAGGAAGACCAGGTGAAGATGGAAGTGCCCCCGCACTGACAGCGTAGTGCTGGAGGACTTCCTTTGTAGTATGCTTGTATACTGGCACATTATGTCATAAATCTGCAGTGGGCTCAGATTAAAAAAAAAAATTACTAGTTCACTACCTCTTTAATTTTTTTTTGTCATATTGAGGCTATATGCTCACACACTCAGAATCTTTTGTCAAGTGTAGTCAAGTGTAATTGAATTTAAATCTGTAGGTACATAATGCTGCCATGACGTGGTTAGTGTTTGCTCACTGTTTTCTCTCTCTTATCAGAGTTCGGGGTACATTTGGCTGAGCTGACAGTTGACCCACAAGGTGCCCTGGCCATTAGACAGGTAAACCGGTGAATGCGAATTCATCTTAGTTTACAAACTTTCTGTGACTCTATTGCTCTTAAAGTGAATGTCCTGCCAAAATGTTTTTCTTAGTTTCAGACACAGTGCGGCAGGGTTGTTGTAAGCCCTGTGGGTTTTATTGCTATTCAGGGGAGAAACTGTGTTTTTTTTCAGGCAAGTAGGGAAACTGCAACACAGACAGAAATGAAAACATGGTTTTAGCGGATCAGACTGGACCACCTGTTACATTTTTTTTTCTTTGCCTGTGTATCTTTTGTTGATGTTTCTTCATATACTGCCCAGTGAAAGTTCACTGAGACAGAAAGTAAAGAAAATGTCTCTAATAGGCCCCAGACAGCAATAAAATCCCGATATTCTAAATTTTCCCCAACTATGCAGAAAAAAACTTTTTTGGTTTGCCATACACTTGGATGTAGATTGGTGACTGGATGTAGTTGAACCAAGCTGCAAGTTAACATGGCCAGCCACCATGTTAATACACACTGTTGTGATGTGGAAAATTTATACCACAGGTGGCGCTTTGTAGGCAGTATTGCTTGACAACCGTGACCCACTCAAATGAATGGGGCCGCAGCAAACAATAGAAAATCCCCCTATGGCTAAAAAAAAAAGGCATTCCGGAGGCAGCAGTGTCTCTTACATAATGCTGGGCAGCCTCTGCATGAAAAGCAATCTACAACTGATCTCTTTTCAGAGTGGTGGCAGGTAGTGCTACTAATGTAAATAAACCCATGATGTGTGTATTGGGGGGTAGTGGTTGTCATTGTTTTGAAATACAGTAAGGAGAAATGCCACGGATGTAATTTATATGTTTTATTTTGTCATTATGTACAGTATGATGCCCAGTCCATCTCTTTAAAGTAAACTAGATTTTGTTTTGTCAAATCAAATGTTTAAATGTGCACCAGTTGAGCTCCGAGTCATTTTAACTTTTCAACTGTAGGCTCCTCTTTTATGGGGGGGGCATTCAAACAGAGTTTTCTATTAGTGGTATTGTCTTTAGAGATTTAGTTTTTTTTTTATGATTAACTTTTTTATTACGGTTATGTCTTCCCAAAATAATGTTTGCAAGCAAAAATCAATTACTATAGTAGGAGACCAGCCTCATTTTCGACAATAAAGTGGAACAAAGAAATTAACTGAATAGGATCAAAGGCTTAAATTGCACATCACAGATTAATTTCACTTTACATAATACAGACAAAATTAAATCAAATAAAACAAACTGCTGCCCCTAGAAAAATAGAAAATTTTGTAATGCAGTGCAGCACAAGGAGGAACATCCCTGAGCTCCAAGCTCACAATAATATAGCAGTCCCCTAGAGCAGTGGTTCTCAACCTTAGTGAGACCAGGGCTTGGTAACTTCTTCCAAATCCCTCCATGCTCCAACAGTAAAGGCACAATAACTTGTTTTCAGATGCATAATTCACATGCATTAGTGCATGTCATGACTTATTAAAATGGATTGTGTTAACATGGATTACGTGCCTAAAATCATACTTGACCCTTTTTTGTAATGCAAACCCACTACTGTGTGTTGTGGTGCCACTCAAATAGATTGGCACCACAAAGCAGTAATGCATGTTGGCGTGCTTTACTTCATGTTGTGGTATAGCATGCTTTACCGTAATGTGGAAGTGTGAATCTGGACTCATGCAAAATATGTACACCGCTATCCAGCTGCAGATAACAGTGCAAGGTGTGTGTCATTCAGTGTAGATCTCCATTTACCCATGCTGCCACTGACTTCCCTGGTCTCTGTACCACTCCTGTAATCTTTGTGATTGCTTTGCTGCCACAGATGGAGTGGGGATGCTGGCGCCATCCTACAGACTGACTTCATGCAACCCCAGCATTGAGATCACAAGGGGAAAGTTTTTTTTTTTTTTTCAAGGAGTGTCTGCTGGACTGCCACTTACATGCTGTGTGATCAGTCTGAGACAAGGTCCCCTTGAGAAAATTCCAAAGTGTACCCCTTCCCTTGCTCTTCAGCTGAGACAGGTGGAGCTTGCACATACAATGGTGGGGCTGACACAGGGTATAGAAATGACAACTGATGTCTGCTGCTCCTAGGGTTACCTGGAATAGCAGGGGTATTTTATTAAAATTTACCAAAATTCAGTAAAATTCTTTTTCAGCAGAGATCCGAATATCGTGTTTGTGTGATTATTCAGGTCCTTCACATCACAGCCTCCCTCTCCTCTTAAGCTAGGTTCCGGTTTCTGCAGCTGGGGAACACATTCAAAATTGTGTGTGCTTGACCTACAGAGGAACGCTTTTTCACTTTAGCAGAAGTGCCATTAATTGTTAATGGCACCCCCACACGTTGGCACTTGTGCCGCTTTACTGTGTGTGCCCAACTGCATGTGGCTGCAGCACCATGCGGGTTGGTGCAGCACAATCTTTTAAAAAAAAAAAAAGTTTGGGGACTTCTTTCTCCGTATTTTTTGCTGGTAGTGCAGCCCATTAAAACTACCCATGACATGGGCCCCAAATGCACATGCACAGATCTGAACCCATTTTTACATCGGTGTATTCAGTCCCCCCTGCACATCGGTCCCCTCTCCTTTCAAATCAAGATCTCCTCTTGATGAGTGTCCTCAGCTCCCTCTTTACATCCCCCCTCCCCCCCACTCCTTTCATAGTAATGTTCTCACATTTCCTTGACATCAACCCCCCCCACAGTACTATCCTCTGCCCCTTCACATCATCCCCCCACATTACAGTTCTCAGCCCCCTTCCCCCCAACTATAACGGTCTTCAAACCCCACCCCCACATTACTGTTGAGAAAATTGTTGCAATAAAGACAGTAAATTAGTTAGTCTCCTGAGGGGCGGTAATATACATAAGAGCATCGTCAGCAAAAAGAGCACACTTGTGTTCACACTGACCAAAAAGAATACCATGGATTTTGTGATGTGAATAGATCGCCAACAGTAAAGGTTCAATTGCCAAATCAAAGAGCAAGGGAGAAAGAGGACAGCCTTGCCTAGTACCTCATCAAATGCGGAATGCTGACCTCTTTTAAGAATACTTTTTGCTTCTGGCTTCATACTTTATCAATCACCTGAAACAAATATGCAATTTTAAATGTCATATTGAATTAGGAACTGATGTACATACTTTTTCATGACATTTTCCATAACCATTGGATCAGCATGACAGTTGGGCAGCTAGCATTTTCCAAAATCGAGGTCAGCAATAAACCTTTATTTTTTTTCAGTATAGATTTCATATAAATACAGTGGAGAAAATAATTTTTTGATCCCCGGCAGATTTTGTTAGTTTGCCCACTTACAAAGAATTCAAGGGTCTATAATTTTTACCATAGGTGTATTTAAATAATAGAGACAGAATATCAACCAAAAATCCAGAAGAAAACACGATACAAATGTTATAAATTAAGGTGCAGTTCAGTGAGTAAAATAAGTATTTGCTCCCCAAGCAAAACATGACTTAGTGCTTGGTGGAGGAACCCTTGTTGGCAAGCACAGAGGTAAGACTTTTCTTGTAGTTGGTTACCAGGTTTGCACACATCTCAGGAGGGATTTTGGTCCACTCTTCTTTACAGGTCTTCTCTAAATCCTTATGGTTTCTTGGCTGTCGCTTGGCATCTCGAAGTTTCAGCTCCATCCATAAATATTTTATAGGATTAAGGTCTGGAGACTGGCTAGGCCACTCTGTGACCTTTAATGTGCTTCTTCTTGAGCCACTCCTTTGTTGCCTTGGTGGTATGTTTTGGGTCATTGTCATGTTGAAAGACCCATCTTTAGTGTTCTGGCTGAGGGAAAAAGGTTCTCATCCAAGATTTTACAATACATGGCCCCGTCGATTGGCCCCTCAATGCGGCAAAGTAGGCCTGTACCTTTAGCAGAGAAACATCCCAAAAGCATAATGTTTCCACCTTCCTGATTGACTGTAGGGATGGTCTTCTTAGGGTCGTAGTCAGCATTTTTCTTCCTCCAAAACACACTGAGTCGTGTAAATGCCAAAGAGCTCAATTGTGATCTCATCTGACCACAGCATTTTTCTCCGTCCTTCTATAAACCATTTAGATGTTCACTGGCAAACTTCAGATGGGCCTGTACATGTGCCTTCTTGAGGAGGGGGGACCTTGCGGGGGCTGCAGAATTTCAATCCATGACGTCGTATTGTGTTACCAATGGATTTTTTTGGTGACTGTGGTTCCAACTGCCTTGAGATCATTCACAAGCTCCTCCTGTGTAGTTCTGGACTGATCCCTCATTTTTTCATGACCATCCTTACCCCATGAGGCGAAATCTTGCATGGAGCTCCAGGACGAGGGAAATTGATGGTTGCTTTGTATTTCTTCCATTTGCAAATAATTGCTCCAATAGTTGTTTCCTTCTCACCAAGCTTATTGCTGATGGTCTTGTAGCCCATTCCACCCTTGTGCAGGTCTACAATCTTGTCCCTAACGTCCTTTGACAGCTCTTTGACCTTGCCCTGGTGGTGCCCAAGAAAGAGATTCTGTGAATAGTTATATTTTTTGCACATTCAGTAACAAGTTGTTGTTAGGAGCACCTTCTTAAATTGACATGACTAATCTGTGTACCACATGAGCACATAGACAGTCTGTGGGAACCAGAATTATTGTTGGTTGGTGGGGGATCAAATACCTATTTTACTCACTGAACTGCAACTAAATTTATAATATTTGTATCATGTTTTTTCTGTATTTTTGGTTGTTATTCTGCCTCTATTATTTAAAATACGCCTATGATGAAAATTATAGACCCTTAATTTCTTTGCAGGTGGGCAAACTTACAAAATCTGCAGGGGATCAAATAATTATTTTCCCCATTGTACTTACATAAACGGCAACGATCTAGTGATCTTCACTTGGAAAGAGGCTGGTTGGGACACACAGCCAAGATAATGTAAGCCCTACCATTTTAGGAAGTACAGTGATCAGCATAAATGGGTACACCCCAACAGATTTGTCAGAAAACCTTTCCTTTCAGAATCAACGTTTTCTATGGAACACTATACTACTAAATACTGCCACAAATGTGGGCCATTGATTGCAAACAAGATTTGTTAATTTGCACACACAAAGTATTTTTCCTAACAAATTCATTCAAGACCATGTTTCAAAAATGAATACACTTCAATGAAAGTCTTGGGAGCAAAGCTAACAAGAATTCAACTTGGAAAATGCAGCCATCTCACAGAGACGTCCAGGCCATCCATGGAAGCTAACACATAGACAGAAGCGTTTTTGGATGAGAAGGGTTGAAGAAAATTGACATGCAAGTTCACTGCAGTTAGCTAAAGAAGTAGAAAGCTAAACTGGGGTGATTGTTTCTCATGACACAATATGGCATACACCGCAGAGGAATGGCATGCATGGGTGTCGACCACGATGGAAGCCTCTCCTAAAGCCCATGCACAAAAAAGCCCACCTAGAATATGACAGGACCCATGCTGAAAAAAGAAGACAACTACTGGGACTCTGTACTCTGGAGTGCTGAGACCAAGATAAATGTTTTTGAAACTGATGGCTTCAAAACTGTGTTGCGTCATAAAGGTGAGGAGTACAAAGAAAAATGCATGGTGCCTACATTGAAACGTGGTGGCAGTGTTTCTTCTGTGGGGCTGCATGAGTACTGCTGGTGTCCGGGACCTGCATTTCATTGATGGTATCATGGATTCACAGATATATTTCTCTATATTGAAAAAGAAGATGCTACTATCACTCCGTGCATTTGGTCGTCATGCACTTTTCCAACATGACAATGATCCAAAACACACATCTAAGGCCACTGTTGCATTTCTGAAGAAGAGGGTGAAAGTAACTCAGTGGCCAAGTATGTCTCCTGGTCTGAACCCACTTGAACCTATGGGGAATACTGAAGAGACAAGTTGAGCCATCACTGTCCATCCAGCGTCCAGGCTTTAAAAGAGGTCGTTCTTGAAGAATGGAAAAAATATAGATGTTGCAATGTGTCACCAGCTTGTTCATTCCGTGCCTAGAAGACTTGGTGCTGTCCTTAGAAATCATGGCGGTCATTCAAAATACTACATGTAGTAGTTTTTGTTGTGGGATGTATTCATTTTTCATCAACTAATTTGAGTAAAACTGAATATTTTGTAATCTAAGTTATATTATTAACCATACTTTCATTTAATGAGCTAAACAAATGTTCTATAAAACTCAGTGTTGTCAAAATTTTGTAAATTGTTCTTGTATTTAATTGAGAGATTGATTAAAATCTTACTTTTCAAAAGGGGTGTACTCATTTATACTGAGCACTGTATATACTATTGATAAAATGATCAGCCCCCTTCCCCACCACCTAAGGATAACTGATTTTAATATTTAGGCCATTCACACCAGTGTTTGGAGCTGACCATGATTTCCTGTAGCTATGCGTTTCTTGCGAACAACTGTGGGCTGGAAGCCTCCATCAAAGCAAAAAGTGGCTGACCGCACCCATTGCAATTCGCATGTAATGGAACAAAACAGCGATTACCTGGGGATGATCATCTCCAGGTGATCGCTGCATGTTCAGTTACATAACTGTGGGTCCTGTCAGCTTCTCATTGCTTTGAATGATTCTTCCCACCCGCAGCTGCTCTCAGGACACACCAAGAGTCTCGCACAGGAAATCGTAGTTGGCCCAGAACACAGGTGTGAATGAGGCCTGAAGGCATAGAGCACAGTGCCATTGTTTAACCGCTTGCCGCCCTGCCACTGTATATATACGTGTGCAGGGCGGCACTCAGGCGCAAAACCACGTTTTAAAACGGGTTCCTCGCTCCCGCCGTTCTCGCCGGCAGGGGGCGCACGCTCCCGCCGACCCGCGGGTGACACCATTCGATCCCGGAGGGATCAATCATTAGATTTCAGCCAGTGATGTCTGCCTGAAATCAGATGATCGGTCCCTGTCCTATCCTGTGTTGACATTTACACAGGACAGGATATGATGTCATTCTTCTCTGCCTGGACACATTCCGTTCCAGACAGAGAACGGTATCTCGTTGAGTTAGCGCCCCTCCCAGATAGCGCCAGTTTGCCCGCCAGTACACCAGTAATCCCGTTTAACCCCTTGATCGCCCCCCCCAGTTAACCCCTTCACTGCCCTGTCACCAGTGTCACTGATCAGTGAACCAATTTTTACTGCTCACTGTATCAGTGTCGCTGGCGACTTCCGATCGTGTTAGCGCCCCTCCCAGATAGCGCCAGTTTGCCCGCTAGTGCACCAGAAATCCCATTTAACCCCCTGATCGCCCCCCCCAGTTAACCCCTTCACTGCCCTGTCACTAGTGTCATTGATTACAGTGAACAGATTTTTACTGATCACTGTATTAGTGTCACTGGTGACTTCCGATAGTGTTAGCGCCCCTCCCAGATAGCGCCAGTTTGCCCGCTAATGCACGGGATTTTTTTTACCAAAAACATGTAGCAGAATACATTTTGGCTTAAATTTATGACTAACTTTGAGTTTACGATATATTTTTTATAGCTGAAAGTAGAAAATATTGTTTTTTTTAAAAAATTTCATGATTTTTTTTTTTGATTATAGCGCAAAAAATAAAAAGCGCACAGGTGATCAAATACCACCAAAAGAAAGCTCTATTTGTGTGAAAAAAAGGACGTAAATTTTGTTTGGGTGCAGCATTGCATGACCGCGCAATTATCATTTGAATTAATGCAGCGCTGTATAGCAAAAAAAGGCATAAATTACAGTATCTATACCATAGTTTGTAGACGCTATAACTTTCACACAAAGCAATCAATATACACTTATTGGGATTTTTTTTTACCAAAAACGTAGCAGAATACATTTTGGCTTAAATTTATGACTAACTTTGAGTTTACGATATATATTTTTTATAGCTGAAAGTAGAAAATATTGGGGTTTTTTTCAAAATTTTCGTGGGTTTTTTTGTTTATAGCGCAAAAAATAAAAAGTGCACAGGTGATAAAATACCACTAAAAGAAAGCTCTATTTGTGTGAAAAAAAGGACGTAAATTTGTTTGGGTACAGCATTGCATGACCGCGCAATTATCATTTGAATTAGTGCAGCGCCAAACAGCAAAAAAAGGCCTGGTCATTAAGGGGGGTAAATCCTCAGGAGCTCAAGTGGTTAAACTTGCCATGTGAATGCTGACCTAAAGAAAATGAGATTCAGAAAACAACTATCCTAATACTTTATGGGCTTTAAGCAGCTTTTTAGAATCTTTTTAACCAATCCCAGTTTTGCATGTCTTGAAAGGTTGAGGGTTACTTACAAACATTGGATTGATGTTTGAGCCATCTCTAACCAGCTTGATTGGTCAAAGTTGATCTTATGTTTTAGATGCCATTTAGATAACTAAACTCAAGAAGAAAAATAAATATTACAGTTTACAGGTCCTTATGTCTGGTGTTTGCCTATATTTTTTTATTGCTAGTCATGGGGAGCTTCAAAATTTTTAAGGGTATCTGAGTTCTGGAGACGGTGAAAAAGAAATCAATACGTTTTTTGCTTTTTCTGTTACTTTACTGACTTTGTGTGCTTTCAGCTGGCATCTGTGGTTTTGAAGCAGTATGTTGAAAATCATTGGTGTGCTCAGTCAGAGAAGTTCAGATTGCCCGAGACTACTGAAAGGGTTAGTAACTTTGAATTGTAATCTTTGTAGCCTTGAATATATATAGCCACATCTGGATTTTTAAGTTGCTTTTATTTTATTCTTTATTTAGGCAAAGGCAGCAATCCGTTTGTTGCTTCCTCGAGGTCTGCGGGAGTCAATAAGTAAAGTACGTTCCAGCGTTGCATATGCTGTGTCTGCAATAGCACACTGGGATTGGCCTGAAGCCTGGCCACAGCTTTTCAATTTGCTCATGGAAATGCTAGTGAGTGGTGAAGTCAGTGCTGTTCATGGTGCTATGAGAGTTTTGACAGGTATGTAGTATATTACGTATAAATACATTTATATAGACTGAGTATGTTTATAGCTGTGTTAAATCAGGTGCAAATTAATAAAAGGCACACTTTAATATGTAATTGCATTAAATATTCAAAGCCCAACTCCATGAAAAAAAACTAAATTCAGTAGTGCATTTTGCTTTACTTACCTTACGCTTTACTTGCCAAACACATCTTTGCAGTTCATTCCACAGTGTAATCACTGACAGTCATGTTCTATGGGGAATCGTGATATCCTGCTCTGGTAACCAGCCACTGTACTTCACTTGTTATCCCCTTGGGCAGAGAACGACAAATTCAAGGTCGCTATGGCAACTAGAAATTGCATCCTGGCGCCTGGGGTCTGCCTGCAGTCCGCTGGCAGGCACCGGAACGCCGCTTCAGAGATCCAGGGATATCCGTGTGGCTTAATCACCTAGATCTCCCTCTCCAGCCAATCACACCTTAGGGATAACACAGGGGCACGCACAGCCACCTCCTCCCCTCCATCCAATCCCTGGCTGGCGCTGTGTGTTAAATATTCTGGCTCCGCCCTCTGTCTCTGGCAGACAGTGATGGCGGCTTCGGGGATGTGTTCCGGGACTCCAGCAGCTCTGAACAGTGCGGTGGTGAAGGTTCACCTGGTCCTGGTCTCCATAGTTAACCGCTATGGGCAGAGGAACGAGGGGCTGGCCAGGGTGAGCGGGACTCTGCTGGGGGGGGGGGGGGGGGGTGTTGTCTGGCGGCAGAGGGTCTCACTGATCATATATGGGGCCCCTGTATTATACCTATTGGGGGGGGCACACTGTTTCTCTTTGCTCTAATCACATATTGAGCATGTGCGAGGCCCCTATGTTGTGCTGATCATATGGGAGGCCCCTGTACTGTACTGATCATATTTGATGTGTGATATGGGGGAGGGGGTGGCTTTGCTGTGTGATATGGAGTGGGCTGTAATGCGTGATATGGGTGGGCAGCTGTACTTTGTGAAATGTTGGGGGGCTGAATTGTGTGATATGAGGGGGGCTGTACTGTGTGGCATGGGGGGGGGGGGGGGGGGGGGGGGGGTTGTACTGCGTGCTATGGGGGGGGGGTGTGTTGTACTGCGTGCTATGGGTGGGAGCTGTATTGTGCGATATGGCGGGGGGATTTGTACTGCGTGGTATGGGGGGCTGTGCTGCTTGACAAATCCCAGGTCGCCATGAAAAATTGCTTCCTGCGCCTGTGTTTTTGTCAGCCGTCCGCTGTCGGACACAAGGACGCCGCTTCACTGCTCCAGGGATTTGAAATCTCTACAGCTTAATCTCCTATCCGTACCTCTCAGTGTACGGACAAGAGGCATTCTAATTGGTCAGCACCATCACATGGATAGCGCTGACCAATCAGAATCAGTCTAGCCCGTCCTGTCAGTGCTGGGAGGAGAGAACGCTGCAAGGATTTTAAATCCCTGAACCAGTGAAGCAGCGACTTGATGTCTTTCCTTTCTTTTTGTTCATTTTTTTTTAAAAAACTGGCTCCCAACTTTTTTAGCTGGCTCCTAGATTCAAAGAAAATTTGTCAAGCCCTGCCCTCGGGGACCAGTTCCCCCACTGCCCCTCTCTACCTCTTCTGAAGCTGATAGCTTGGTCACTGCCTTTAGTAAGCGTCCAAGTCAAGCAGGCAAAGACGTGGACTTCCTGAAGAAGGACCAGTCAAAAGTAAACAATCAGAGGAGATACTCTGGGTGGCAGATCACAGCTATGAAGTGTAGGCCAGCGGTCCTGTGGGTCTGAGTGTAGTTGGCTGAGCAGGAATTGTATTTTTTTTTTTCTGGTTTCCTCAGTGTCATGTTGTAGTGGGGTTTCTCATTCCTTATTTGGAAAGCATGTTATCTGCGGTTTCTTCCATGGATGCTCTATTATCAGTGCTGCGTGATCTGTTGATGTGTCCAGATCTACCTTTTTCATAGAGAGTTCTGGCATTAATGATTTGGCCATGGTATATGGTCCAGATTGATGTCTGGTGTTCTTATTTTGTACTGTAAAGTTTGGCCATCACTGTGGAGAGATGTAATGCAAAGGAATGCTGTCAGAGAAGACATGCAGCATGAGCTGTTCAGAGAATGCAGACATACTATATGAGTAGTTTGAGACTGAGTACATGCTTCAGAAAACAGACATATACTACTAGGTACACTTTACATAAGACTGCAGATTCTTTACAAGTCAATGCTTTCACATCTGTGTTCCTCAAAGCCTTGTTAATGTTGTTGTGCCACATTTGATATTTCTCTCAGAAAGATCCAGTGTGAAAGATGAGATAAAAAAAGAATGGACAGAACAGAAAAAGTAAGATGGCATGAAAGAAATAACACAAACCATTAAAGAAAACCTATGACCACAGCAAACGCGTTTATACCATCAGCATTGTAATAGCAATAGTAACAGTAGTTATTTTGACAATGCAGTCTAAGCTTACTTGATAAATTTCCTATTTAGCTGTGAGTTCTGTCTTTGCTGGTAATCTCTTTCCACAACCTCCTGGATTCCCTGCATGCTTTGCAGCCTCTCCTCTACTATGGACTACATATCCCATGATACCTTGCTGCCTGCAAGACGTGATTCCTGTACTGACTATACTTTCTGAAACCCCTCCATCCAGCACCTCTGTTCAAAAGGCAGGCTCTGTGAAATGTATGACAGCAGTGCCTACTCACAGGGCATAGTGAATATGTACCACGAAATTAAAGGAAATAAAATGTGTGATGACCTTCACAAGGTTTACAAATGTCAAGATCATTCACATTAATAGGAGTAGGCTAGAAATATCTGAAATCCAATGTGGAAATTTAATACAATTTTAAATATTGACCATATATACACTCTTAACTACTAGAAGTCAAGTCTAAAGTATATTTTCCTACACTGGCTTTCATAAGCACCAAAACGGTTTACTGTCTGGAGTCCACAAGCCACACAGTAAATGCCAAAGGGTCATAGGATGAGCACCAACTCTGGGTCCTTTCTAACATCGTCATTATTCAGTTTTCAGTGTACCAGTATGGCCTTTCACGTAGAATAATATGCAATCTTCTATAAGAAAGTACATTGCTGTGCTTTGTCTTCTTTCAGAAATTGTGATTTCAGTGTGGATCATTTTAGCCAGCAAATTTAGTGACCTTCAAGCCTTGGATGCTGTAACAACTTTTTCAGATGAAGTGGTGTGCGAAGTAGATATGTATTTCTACCTAGAGTAGTAGCTATATTCCATAGTACCCAAGGAAATGCTTTTCAGCCTTAATCTTTCCTTTAGCATTAAAAGAAGTTTCATGGTTTGCACTTTAGAAGATGATTGCTTAAATGTCTAGAAATACTTAACTATGTAGGAAGACCACAAAGAAATGGATGGAGACCCCACTGAATATTGACATTTAAAGTATATCAAAAGCCAAAACTTTTGTTTCTACTTTTGCTAGAGTAGGGAGTTGTGCTGCCTTTGAAGATTCTGGTAAACCTATCCATTAACTTCGATTTTCTACTTTACTTATAAAATTATCCAGTCCTCCATAGACAAAGGATAGGAACATTGAGGATATTGGCTTTACATAAATATACCTCCCCCTGCTTCTTTTGAACATCCTATGAAGATGCTGGGTTTAAGAGATTTGTGTTTGTCTTAAGTTTTTAATGAATTTGTGATTTAACTTCATATTCGTCAAAATTACAGTCATGTAAAAGTAGGTGCTTCTTTACTTACAAATCTCTAATACTGTCTGATAAAGGACGTTATTTGGGCAGCATCAGTCACTTGGCTCCAAGACTGTAGATAACACTAGATGGATTGCTGGTTTGAAGTTAATCTTGTCATTATGTAATTTAACCACTTGCCCTCCAGAGGATTTACCCTCCTTGCTGACTAGGCCATTTATTTGTGCGGTCATGCAATGCTGCACCCAAATTAAATTTACGTCCTTTTTTTCCCCACGAATAAAGCTTTCTTTCAGTGGTATTTGATCACCTGTGCTTTTTTTTATTTTTTGCGCTATAAAAAAAAAAGACAGAATTTTGAGAGAAAAAAAAAAATATTTTGGACTTTTTGCTATTAAACATGTCCAGTAAAAAAATTTAAATCAAATTTTGTCATAAAATTAAGGCAGAATGTATTCTGCTACATGTCTTTGCTACAACAAAATCCCAATACATGTAAATGAATTGGTTTACGTGAAAGCTATATCATTTACTAATGACGGAAATATATACTGGGATTTTTAATTTTTTTTTCACTACTAATGGCAGCTATTTATCTCATGCTGACACTGAATTGGTTATACGGGGACAATACCTGTGAATTACGTGCTAAGCATATATCGTTTACTAATGACGGAATATATACTGGGATTTTTAAATTTTTTTTCACTACTAATGGCAGCTATGGGACAGCGGGACTGCGGTGGCATGCTGACACTGGGGGGAATGACTTGGTGTCACTGACATCCCCAGTGACACCAATACAGTGATCAGTGCTAATAAGTACTGACACTGTACTAATGGCACTGGGCAGGAAGGGGTTAACATGTGGGGCGATCAAAGGGTTAACTGTGTGCTGTGTTAGTGCTTTCAACTGTAAGTACACAGCTTTGCATAAATATGAATATAACAGCGCAACACATTTTTAAAAATAATGCATAATATCAATAATAAAACATTGTCAGTGAAAAAATGAATATTTCATTGGTGAAATAAATAAAAGTGAAAATATATGAAAAATATCCACTGTCCCAAATCATTGGTGAAGAAAAAGTGTTCCAATCAAAAAAACGGTGCTAAAGGAAATCCAACGTGCCCACACCATCAGTGACTTCCAATATGGCCCGCACTCACCAAATAGAATGGACTCCTAGCTGATAAGGCTTAAGAGTCAAACAAGCTTTTGAGGTATGATGTGTCCTTCAAATGAATCCCAATCAGGGAGAGAAAATTCCTGCTTGACAATCTCCAAATGACCACCCAAGGGTAATGGTGATCAATAATCTCATCAGTGAAGTCTATGCGAGGCTTTGGGATGGGGTACCATCTGACATCACCAAATTTGTGGCCTACTGTAACAAACTCCTAGCAACTCAAATTTCACTTATGGAGCCTTCCAGACAACATGCAGGTCTCCTCACCGATAGCAAAATCAGTGGTGAGGAGACCTGAATGTTGTCTGGAAGGGAGTAATTGGGAGTAACTGTGCCTCATTGTTGGTGTTATTGGGAGGAATTCTGCCCTTTTATTGGTGTCAGTGGGGGGAATTATGCTCCATTTTTGGTATTCGTAGATGAAAATAGTGCCCCAAGGACTGGATAAAAGCAAGCATAGGGCCGCAGTTTGGAAACCACAGCATTACAACATCCACAAGGTCAAGCAAGCAACAGGACCATGAAACTGGAAAAACTGGAGCATGCAAGATCTGGTGCAGCTCTGCATAGAAACCAATCAGCTTCTAACTTCAGCTTATTAATTTACGCTTTGACAAAACCTGGAAGCTGATTGGTTTGTGTGCAGAACTGCACCAGATTTTGCATGCTCCAGTTTTAGTAAATCAACCCCACATATACTCATCTTTATGACAGTGAGGAGAACATTTTGGAAAGAGGACAACTCTCAAGAGATGTAAAAGAGGCCACCTATGTCAGTCTGGAACAACAGTTTTTAACAAGTTGGGGGCCTTCAGCACAGTTTGTCTTCAATATAATTCTATTTTAACATCTCTGCCCTGGGGAATTGGCAATATTTCACACCTTTATAAATTTTATAAGAACTTTGAGTTCAGTAACAATCAATAAATCACTTCAAACATAAATAGGAAGATTAACGAAAACTTGATGAATTCAAAACGCATAAATAAACGAAAATGGGAAAGCAGCACTCATTCATACCCGAATACAAGGTAATAGATGGAAAACATTAATGTTGCGCTACCTATTTAAATTATATATCAATCACCAATATACAGTAATAAATTGACACACTAACATTGTAGTGAATAATCCAAAATACAATAAGCAAAATGATATAATCTGGAGTGGAAAAAAGTCCAATGAGCATGTGTGAAGTGGGAAAAAATGAAAAAACTTGTGCAGATCTGCTTTTCAAATGTGGCAAACTCAATGCACCATCACCACAGGTTAAAAGCGATAATAAAGGCTCAATTTATTAGAAATAAAAAAAGGATGGCTCCCGCTCCTGTCTCTAATCCAGTGAGGAGGCAGAGAGCCAGGAAAGCAGACGCTTTCGTGCATATCGCTGGATCGAGCTCAGGTAATTATCAGGAGGGGCTGGGGAGGAGAGCTGCATAGTGAAGGTTTTTTTACCTTCATGCATAGAATGCATGAAATTAACCACTTCAAGTCCAGAGACTTTTACCCCCTTCCTGTCCAGGCCAATTTTCAGCTTTCAGTGCCATCACACTTTGAATGACAATTGCGCGGTTATGCAACATTGTACCCATATGAATTTTTTAGCATTTTTTTGTGACAGATACAAATTTATTTTGCTGGTATTTATTCACAACTGGGATTTTTATTTTTCTTGTTCTATAAATGAAAAAGTGCAAAAATTTTGAAAAAAGTGTTTTTTTTTGCAAATCATTTTTCTTCATAAATCTTGCCCAAAATATATTCAGCTATCTTTTTAGTGAAAAAAAAATAACCCAAATTAGTTTATAACCAAAAAGTATAATTTTTCAAATTTTTTTTTACATTTTTTATTTTATGTTTTTATATTATTTATCTTTTTTTTTAACATTCTGTCACCGTAGCAGTACAGTGTTGCCATTCTTGCAGCGATTGAGAAATGCTGTGTGAGCTGTGATTGGTCACAGCTTGTCACATGGTACAAGGCTGTTATGAATAGCCTTGTACCATGTGACCTCTGTGATCATTCACAGATTTCACACGTAGTAAGCAATGATGTCAGAAGTTAAGCTCCAACCAATGTTTTGCACTGTGCGCTGCCAGCACAAAGACCGCAGTGCCACTGAGAGCCCCGGGTCCCGTTCTAACAATCGGGACCCGGGACTCCTGATTCCAGGTCACATGATCGCTGTGATAGCCTCTGATTAGCTATCACAGTGATCATTCACTGTGCAGCCCTGCCCCCTTGTTTTTTTCTCTCTCTATGAATGGAGAAGAGAGATACATTGTATCTCTCAAACTCCTGGCATAGAGAGAAAAAAAAATGTTTGTAAAAAAAAAAAGATAAGGTTTAAAAAATAAAGAAAAAATACCTAGATCAAGGTTTGATCTAGTATAGTGCCAGGGTTATTGTTTGGTCAAGGTCAAAAGGTAAAAGTCAGGTAAAAAAAAAAAAATTGGTGTCAGTGTCAATGTCAGTGTGTTGTAGGTAACAAAAAAAAAAAAAAAAAAAAAGACAAAAACAAAATGTGCACAATTGTTTCTGGGCTGTACTACAGGTACAAACAACAAATAACATACACATATATGGTAACGCTGTGATCGTCAAGAGCTGGAGAATTTTTTGGGTTGTTCTTTGGTGGTAGAAACAGGAAACACACAGCTAAATAAAAAAAAATGATTTTTTTCTTTTACTATTTTGGACCAGTTTTTCTTTGATAAAAAAAAAAATCAGGAGATATCCATTACCATTTACCACCAAATGAAAGCCCAATTTGTCCTGAAAAAAAAACACGGTATAATTCACCTCAAAGTACAAAGTAGTGGTGATGATATGTACGGTTTTACTAACACATGTCAACGTTGAAAAATTGTGCTTGGGCATTTCGATTTGTTTTACCCTTAGGCGTGAAGGGGTTAAACATGCACTAATGTTGTTACTTTTTCCCCCAGAGTTCACTAGAGAAGTGACAGATACACAGATGCCCTTGGTTTGCTCCTGTCATCCTGCCAGAGATGTATAAGATCTTCACTATGAGTGATGTATGTATTTTTATGTTATCACCTACTGCCAATTGAAGACAAGTTCAGTATTCATGGTGAATGTATTTGAATTAAAGGGACTCATGAAGCAAAGCACTCACGTGATTCAGTTTAAAATGGAAACAGCCACTTTCTGACTGTTTCTTAACTATGCGGTTATGCAACACTGTACCCATATGAATTTTTTTGCATTTTTTGAGACCAATAAAAACTTTATTTTGGTGGTATTTTTCACCACTGGGATTTTTTTTTATTTTGCTATATAAATGACAAAGTCCAAAAATTTGGAAAAAAAGTGTTTTTCTTATAAATTTTGCAAATAATAAACCTTTCTTCATAAATCTTGGCCAAAATTTATTCAGTTATCTTTTTAGTAAAAAAAAAAAACTCAAATTAGTTTATAACCAAACATTTCTAATTTTTTAAAAAAATTTTTTACATTTTTATTTTTTTTATAATATTTTGGTTTTTTTTTTTTTTTTTAACATACTAGCACCCTAGCAGTACAGTGTCACCATAGTGATACTAATACTACTTGTGGGGGGTGATGATTTTATTTTTTTCATTTACACTGATTGCTTTTACATCCATAAAGGCTATAAAAACAATCATTTCTCCTTCTCTCTGGCTACATTCTTGCAGCCATTGAGAAATACTGCGTGAGCTGTGATTGGTCACAGCTTGTCACATGGTACAAAGGCTGTTTTGAATAGCCTTGTACCATGTGACCTCTGTGATCACAGATTTCACACGTAAGCAATGATGTCAGAAGTGACATCTTTATATAAAACAAGCATGCAGCGCTCCTATAATGATATAAAACATTCGTGACATCAAATGGTGAAGAAAAGAGAATAATATGCACTAACCAGATAGCGCTATATATATAAAACGCATGTAGAATGATGAGATCATCTAGGTGTGAGCATCTGGACCCAGGGTGTTCTGATTATGGCAACATCTATCGCAGCATTGCAGCAGGATTTCCAAATGGCAGGGGTATGATTGAAGACCACCGGAGGGAGCCAGCAACCAGGAATCACTTCAGACCAGGTAATCCCAAAGCATATAGTATGTTCGCGACCGACCACCAGGGGGAAAAAGAGCTCAGGAGAGTATCCAATAGTTTCCTTGGGGAAAATTGGCTCAAGCAAAAATGAGCCAGAGGACAAAAATATCTAAGTGCAGCAATTACTTTTATTTAGAATTTGCAGTAAAATGATAAAATATAACTCACATAAAATGCAAAAAAAAGGGCCCATTGGCCAGGCAAGAAGAGGTCCACGTGGATAGAAAGTCACTGAGGGCAGCTATCTGACATGTTTACGTGCCACGCACGTTCTCAAAGAAAGCTGGCCCCCTCAGTGACTGAACAAGTATATAAATAGTAGCACATTCAAATGTAACCGGCGTTCCTCCCGCCGTTCGCGCATGGCAGATTCTGCGCAGTTGCGCAGTTCGCGCTTGCCGGTATCGCGCCCAGCGGCGGCCATTTTGTTGAAGCTCAATGAGCGTTATTGAAGCTTCTATTTACAGACATCGGGAAGTGAACAGACAGAGTGTAATGAATAGACACTCTACTTCACCTCTCTCTCATGCTGAAAGGCACAATATTACAGTGCTAATAGCATAATAACAATGTGCATGTTTGGTAACAGGAGGCAATAAATACATCCTAAAAATGGATGATCGGGGAAATATGAGCTTATAACAGGGATCTCATACAAAGTAATCACCTGTATTGTTTACTTAGTAAAGGAGATCTATTAATTTTTTGCAGTTTTCCGTATGAACTACAGGTACCAGCTTTATCTTCCCAAACATGTATATATTCCTACAAATAGTCCAATATTACACACCACAACCAATGTAAACACACTTGATAAAAACATACTAAATTCATAATACTACTCTAGGTTAAAAATGTGGACCGAGGATTATATTTGATAAAAACACATGTAAGATATGGGCATAAAATAGTTAAATAATAATCATAAAATATAAAAAAATTCGATCTATAAGATTAATAATAATTTCATAAGAAAATAAATTGGTGTGTACCAACCCAAATAGACCTGATGGAGTAGTGTACATCAAATTAGTGATAGAAAGTATCATATAGCAAAGAGGACCTGTCAAGACTAGTCCTGGCCATACTCGCGTTTCGTTTACTCTTCAATAATAAATACGTGATATAATAATTAACCCCCAGTAATCACCCCTAAGGTCAAATAAAGTGTTGCACTCCATTATTACTATTCAGGATATATTGTAAAAATTAGCAATATATAACGTGACATAATAAAATATGTTATTAAAACTTGTATATTGTTGGCTCTATGCTGGATCCTGTATAATACCCTTGTTCTCAGCTAGTGTCTATAAAGCCGTTAATATCCCATTCTCAAATGCTTGAGGCCCTGATGGTGCTGAGGTTCGCAGTAGGTATATCCATTTCGTTCTAACCTTGATACTGTTCGTCTTTTAAAAAATGCCTCTCCAGTGACTGTTGACCATGTCGATTCCCATAAATTTTTAAGATTGTGTGGATTTTTATTGTGTACATTATGGAAATGCATAGACACAGAATGGTCTTTATATCCTTTTTTTTAATATTCGTTAGGTGTTCCCTAAGTCTGTCTCGTAAGCGTCTGGGGTGGGTCCTACCGATGTATTTGTTTTCCACAGCTACATTCGAGTAGGTAGACAACATGGAGTACTATAGCATGTTATTATAACCGTTTGACCTCATAGGTTTTCCCAGTGGCGTTTGATCTAAAACTTTTAATTGGTTTTTTGTGAATCCCATTGTGTGTGCATAGCATACAGCGATTGCAAGGATAAAAGCCTTTTCGATTTTGGTTAAAATTAAAAGAATTGTTTGTCTTGGTGAGTCGACGACGTCCGACATTTGGTGCTAACATATTTCTCAACTGGGGGGGTCTTTGCGGAACGTAATTTCCGGATGTTCCGGTAAAACCTCTCCCAGTATGGGGTCATTTTTGAGTATAGGCCAGTGTTTTTTTTTGATGATTCTGGAGACCATTCTTATACTGGACAGAAAATTGAGTGATGACAGAGGACAGAATCTAGTTATACCTGTTTATCTTTGGGAATGAAGAGATTCTTTTCTATCTAGCTTTACCCACCTCTTCAATTTCTTTCTCTAGGATATACCGCTAATCGTATAGCCTTTTTCCACAAACCAGTAATTTGAGTAATATTGGCTTGTGCGTTATAGTCCTCCAATTTATTGTGCAATTTTCTGCGTATCCGCAGAAACTGGCCTTTCGGAATCCCATTCAGCCATCTTGGATGATGGCAGCTGTTTTTTTTGGAATGAAACCATTCCGATCTGTTTTTTTTTTAAAAAAACTTTTAGTTAAAATCAAGTATTGTACTTCAATAAAAAGTGTTAGATCTAGAAATTGATTTCCGAATAACAATATTCATATGTCAGCTTAATGTTAAGATTATTAAAATTTAAAGTTTTAAAAAAGTTTTTTTTAAGGAGAATATTCATCGCCCTTCCATAACAATAGAATGTCGTCAATATAGCGTCTGTAGAACACAAGGTCCGGCCAGTCTCTGAATAGATAATTTCTTCCTCCCAGTTTGCCATAACAACAGGTTAGCTAGGCTGGGGGCAAACTTTGCCCCCATCAAGCCACGCCCGTAATCTGCAGGTAGTATTGTTCTCCAAACCAAAAATAATTGCGCTTCATAGCGAAGTCCCAGAAGTTCTAGTAAGAAGTCCTTTTGTAGCGGTGGGATATCTCGTGCTATATTTAAATATGATTTGGCCGCTAGCGCATTCCATCAGAATGTTTGATGTTTGCTATACAAACAATGAAGCCACATCGGCCGTACCTACAAGATAAGTGGGTTGAGTTTTGGATCCTGAGGTTTTTCAGGTCTGTTATTACTTGTTTTGTATCTTTCAGAAAGGCCGGTGTGTTAACTACCAATGGCTGCAGGAAAAAATCTATATATTGTCCTATTCGTGAGGTCAATGAGCCTATGCCACTTATTATAGGTCTACCTGGGGGTTTTAACTGGGTTCTTGTGTATTTTTTGGTAAACTGTAAAAAAACGGTAGCCTCGGTGCTATAGGGCACAGGTAATCCTTCTCCTTTTTATTCAAAATTCCCGTTTCATGCCCTCTTTTTTAAAAGACTTTTGAGCTCCTTTTTATAGGGTATGAGGGGTTTACCCTTGTAATATTTTGTAAGTAGTATCATCATTCAGGATATCATATGCCTGCGTGAGATAATCTTTTTTATCCAGAATAACCACTCCTCCACCCTTGTCTGCTGATCGAATCACTAGATCTTTCTCCTTTAGTAAATCCTCTCTCATTTTTTCAGTTTTCTTTAAGGCCTTTCATATTCCAATTCTTATATTTTTAAATGATCTAGGTCTTTAAGGACCATGTTTTTTTCCTGAATAGTAATAATGGAGTGCAACACTTTATTTGACCTCTAGGGGTGATTACTGGGGGTTAATTATTATATCACGTAATTTATTATTGAAGAGTAACGAAACGCGAGTATGGCCAGGACTAAGTCTTGACAGGTCCTCTTTGCTATATGATACTTTCTATCACTAATTTGATGTACACTACTCCATCAGGTCTATTTGGGTTGGTACACACAATTTATTCTTATGAAATTATTATTAATCTTATAGATCGAATTTTTATATTTTATGATTATTATTTAACTATTTTATGCCCATATCTTACATGTGTTTTATCAAATATAATCCTCGGTCCACATTTTTAACCAGTATTATGAATTTAGTATGTTTTGTATCATGTTTTACATTGTTGTGGTGTGTAATATTGACTATTTGTAGGAATATATACATGTTTGGGAAGATAAGCTGGTACCTGTAGTTCTACGGAACTGCAAAAATAAGAGATCTCCTTACTAAACAAACAGGTGATTACTTTGTATGAGATCCCTGTTATAAGCTCATATTTCCCCAATCATCCATTTTTAGGATGTATTTATTGCCTCCTGTTACCAAACATGCACATTGCTATAGCTATTAGCACTGTTAATATTGTGCCTTCAGCATGAGAGAGAGGTGAAAGTAGAGTGTCTATTCATACACTCTGTCTGTTCACTTCCCATGTCTGTAAATAGAAGCTTCAATACTCATTGAGCTTCAACAAAATGGCCGCCGCAGGCGCGAACTGCGCATGCGCGAACCGGCAAGCGCGAAACTGCGCATGCGCGAACGGCGGGAACGCCGGTTACATTTGAAATGTGCTACTATATATATACTTGTTCAGTCACTGAGGGGGCCAGCTTTCTTTGAGAACGTGCGTGGCACGAAACATGTCAGATAGCTGCCCTCAGTGACTTTCTATCCACGTGGACCTCTTCTTGCCTGGCCAATGGGCCCCTTTTTTGCATATTATGTGAGTTATATTTTATCATTTTACTGCAAATTCTAAATAAAGTAATGCTGCACTTAGATATTTTTGTCCTCTGGCTCATTTTTGCTTGAGCCAATTTTCCCAAAGGAAAAACTATTGGATACTCTCCTGAGCTCTTTTTCCCCTGGTGGTCGGCGAACATACTATATGCTTTTGGGATACCTGGTCTGAAGTGATCCTGTTTGCTGGCTCCCTCCGGTGGTCTTCAATCATACCCCTGCCATTTGGAAATCCTGCTGCAATGCTGCGATAGATGTTGCCATAATCAAACACCTGGGTCCAGATGCTCACACCTAGATGATCTCATCATCTACATGCGTTTTATATAGCGCTATCTGGTTAGTGCATATTATTCTCTTTTCTTCACCATTTGATGTCACGAATATATTGAAGTTTGCTACAAACAGACTGTCACTCATCCTCATGTTTGAACTTGGGAAATCCACTCATGAACTTATCCATGCTTGGCGATATATAGCCATGTGCGTTATGCCACCATTTTGCACATATATAAAGCATATTTCTCAAATTCGAAGTAATATACATGCGTTTGGTATTTTGTTTTGTTTGTTTTATATCATATAGGAGCGCTGCATGCTTGTTTTATATATTGATGTCATCCTAAGAGGTTTTTTGAGGTTTTACCCTTTTATGCCAAGCTGCTCCACTATATAGATCTAGCGCTCGTTTTTCTTAGATATGTGTTAGAAGTGACATCTTGCTTACTACTATTCATTTGATAACTGATTGCAAATCAGTGATCACATGATCGGGACCTCACACAGAGGTCCCGTACAACTATCAGGGGGCACCGGATCGCAGTGCTGCGTGATCCCAGGGAGCGCACACAAGCAGGGAAGTGGGGAGGACGTTTATAAACGGCCACCTGCCTCTGCACTGCTTGGTTAGAAAGTGGTTAAGAAAATAAGTCCTGCTAGATCACTTCAGGTTGACCCCTTTTGGAGGTATAGCTATGTAAAACATAAATAATAGGTGCCTATACTCATAAAATACAGTAATATACTGTCTCACCAATGCTCTGCACATGCTCAGTTGTTTTTTATTTTTTTTTCAGCACTGTGCCTATAATGCAGAGGCTGATCTGCTAACAGCCTAGAGATTTACTGCTGCTCAAGGGCTCTGGGCTTCAGCAAAATGGCAGCTTTCAGCAAGAGGCAATTTTCAGCATACGCTAATTGTGGTAGCCTACTTATTCATACAGAATGTACATTCCTTGCTAAAGAACACATTTTTTTATCAAGTTATGGGTAATGTCCCACTTTAAGTGCAAAGCAGATAACCTATTTTAAGTGTAGACTTGTTATTGTACAGAGCTGTTAGGGTTAGGCCTCATATTCTCTCCCCTCCCTCAGCTGACTTGGAAGTCAGTTTTTTTAGGCCCACCTTCTTATAGGTATGTAAAGTTTTAGGTTTTTCCGGAAGGTTACCTGTTTAGTCACACTTCATAGTAATGGTTTAAATAATCCTTTCCTGACAAAAATGTGGCGGCTGACCCCCAACAGCTAAAAGCATATTTTAGGTTAGAGAAGGAAAGTAAAGCTACTTTTAAACTTGGATCCAATGCTTGTGATATCAAATGTACTGTGCAGCTTTGTTTCTCAAGCCCTAATATTACAGGTTTTATAGCATTCGAACTCGAGCCCGAGCTGTTGAGATCTTCACTACGTGCGCACATATGATCTGTACTATGGAAGAACTGGAAAAGGTTAGAAATATTTTAAATTGCAAACATATTTTATTTAACAAGGTTTGTGTATGATTATCTAAAACAAAATAATTATTATTATATTTTTTTATTTTCTTCCCTACCATATATTCTATTTGCAGGGTGTTGCGCATGCTTTGATCTTTCCTGTAGTGCAGCAGTTTACAGAGGCATTTGTGCAGGCTCTGCAATTGCCTGATGGTCCTACCTCTGACAGCGGCTTAAAGATGGAAGTATTAAAGGTATGATTTACTGTGATGTATTGGGATACTTCTGAGGTATCTATACAGTAGAGAAAAAAGGGAGTTTGACAGCAGTATTTGCAATATGAAAATGTCAAATGCCCTGAAAACATTTTCTTATATTGTTCTTTGGGACAGAGCATGACCGTTGGGCGTATGCTCTTGCCTGTTGGTGGTTAGCCACTACAAAAAAACTCCTGGGATGGACTTTTCCAATGGCTCTTCAGTTTTTGAATGTTTTTTTCTGGGGAGATGGGTGTTTGTAGAACTCACATTGCTTCTTTTAATGCATTTTTAATTTTGTTTTTTAAATCATAAGATAACCTGGTGTCATCTTGCCTTTTGGCATTTCTGTATTCAAACCAGAAAAAAGGATCTTGCTTTAACAGCATGTTATCCCATCCTCTTTATTCCCCCTACTAGTCATTTTATGTTTTGGTTGGTCTCACCGACCCCAAGGACGACTTGGAAGAGAAAGGACAGGAACTCAACTTTTATAGGAAAATTTATAATTTGCATATAACTTATATGTAGTATATACCTCTGAATATTGTTTACACATGTGTGTTTCACTGAGAGTCGCTGAAATCTGTCATTGTTTAAAGTGATTGTAAACCCTTACATATACCCAGTGAAGTGACTGGCCTCAGATGATAAACAGGTGAAAAAAAATCCTCATACATGACATGCACCTGTCTATCTGCAGTCTTCTCTTCTCTACAACCATTCAAAGTGTAAAATATATAAAGCTTGTCTGAGAGTTCTGAAAAAGGGGGCTGTGAGCTGAAATTACACACTGCAGAGCTCAGTGAGGAGAGTTCTGAGAGCTGATTAGAGGGAAGAGACAGTTCTGAGAGCTGATTAGAGGGAAGAGAGACACCCCCCTCCACACAGCTCACGGGAACAGAGCTGAGGCTGTCTTATCTGTTTGCAGGTCCATTCCCTGTCACCATTTTTCTCAGTTTCAGGAAAACTTGTCAGAAGTGATTCATGCTGATAGCAGAGGGATGAGGCTGCAGAAAGAAATGACACTGTCAATCACCGTTTTCTGCTCTTCCCCTTCAGCACTCACCAAAGTGCCAGACTGGGGAGGAAGCGGGAGCTGCTGACCCAGGCTATTAGTGGTGAACTGAGAAGCTAAGCCATCTGCCGATCAGGCATCTGGGTGGATCCTGCCAATATGGTCAAAATCCTTCCAGAGGCTGGAATGGCTCAGTGCCATCAGCCAACAGCTGCCTCTAGCTTGCTGTTCACTGACTGTGGGTCACAGGAGAGCACAAGTAAGTGCACAACTGTGACCCACAGGAGAATTATGGCCTAAAAAGCTTTGATTTTACTTCTCTTTTAAGTCAGTTTGTACATACTAAGGCTAAAACATTTAGATACATTGTCACCTTGGCCTTTCAAGACACATTGCTAGTGTTGTAAATTACCAAGCACCGTCATGTGACCAGGAGAACGTCTCCCCTTGTTGTCCAACATTGGATGTGATGGAGTCACTAGTGGCTAAAGAACACTGCCAAGGCTACTATTGAGGAACCAGTGCTTTTACAAACAATCTGCTTCTTTTGCCCTTAGTGAGCAAAGTGATAGTGTGACTCACACTTTCTCACTCTTCATCATTATATTGTTGATGATACACGGAGACTAAAGAATCTATTTGCCAGTTGTTGCACTAATATCTCACATTTAGGAATGGTAGCAAATGCAGGGCAATGTTATTATAATGGAGGATTTTTCAACTACCCAGATATTGACTGGGCAGAAGGCACTGCTTGCTTATCTAAGACTATTTTATGTGTCAATTGGTGGACACACTCTACTAGAAAGAACGCATTGCTAGGTGTACCTATTACATATAACACAGATCTGGTCACAGAGGTGGAAATGGGGGACAGCTTGGGTAGCAGCGATCACAGGGTAATCACATTCAAAGTAAGCCATGGTAAATGGAGGCATGAGGGTAGTACAAAAATGGCCTTTAAGAAGGGATCATTGTCAGCATTTTAACACTACAAGGAATGCAATAAGAAGTGTAAGAACACAATTAGGGGGGCTAAAATAGACCACAAGAGACACACAGCAGAGGAGAGTACAATAAATTCCAAGAATTTTTTTCTTTATATATTAACAGTAAGAAAACATAAGGTCAGAGCCAGGACCCGATGATTGACATCTCTAGCCGCCAATAGCAGCGCGCGGCGTGACGCGCCCCCTACCCAGAAATACCAAATCACATGTATATATACACGTGATTTTGCGCAGCCCCTGCCACCCCTGTAGCAGTACCATCTGCTATTGGGCAGAGGGCAAGTGGTTAACAAGGGTGATTATAATTGGTTTATAAACTAAGCAGGGCAATAACTTCTCAGCAGGATATAGAACCCTTACAAGCATGATCTCAAAATCTCAGAAAAATGAGGTTTAATGTTTGAAATATTTAAAGTACTGCATTTGGGGACCAAGAATATGAATGCATATTACTCACTAGGAGCAGAGCCATTAGGGGGATTCAAGGATGGAAAAAGATCTGGGGGTCTTTGTAGATCAACAGGCTCAGCAATGGCATGCAATGCAAGCTACAGCAAGCAAAGCTAGCAGAATATTAGAATGCAATCAAAAAGGGGGATTTAACTCAAAAGAAAACTGTAATTCAACCAGCTTACAAAATTCTAGTTCAGCCTCACATATTGAATATGCTGTCCAGTTATTGGTCACAAGTCCTATAGGAAAAGATGTGCAGGAAACTGAGAGAGAGTCCAGATAAAGGCAGCAAAGCTAAAAAAAAAAAAAAAAAAAAAAAAAGAGACTGGATGACTTCAGTTATGAGGAACGAACTACAAACATTAAACGTATTCTCTCTAGAGAAGAGATATGATAGCGATATAAAAAGTACCTCAATGGTGATCCCAGCAGTTGGTAGAAAACTATTCTGCTGCAGAAGCTTAAGAAAGACACATGGCCACTCCATGAAATTTGGAGGGAAAGCTGTAACACACACTCACACTCTATCTCTACCCCCCCTCTCTCTCCCCTCTACCCCCCCCCCTCTCTCCCCCCTCTACCCCCCCCTCTCTCTCCCCCTCTACCCCCCCCCCCTCTCACTCCTCCCCCTCTAACCCCCCTCTCCTCTCCCCTCTACCCCCCCTCTCTCTCCCCTCTTTACCCCCCCTCTCTCCCCTCTACCCCCCTCTCTCTCCTATCCCCCCTCTCTCTCTCCTACCCCCCACTCTCTCCTACCCCCCCTCTCTCTCACCTATCCCCCTCTCTCCCTATCCCCCTCTCTCTCCTATCCCCCTCTCTCTCCTATCCCCATTTCTCTCTGTCCCACCCCCCCTCTCTGTCCCCCACCCCCTCTCTCTGTCCCACCCCCCCTCTCTCTCCCACCCCCCCTCTCTCTCCCACCCCCTCCTCTCTCTCCCACCCCCCTCTCTCTCCCACCCCCCTCTCTCTCCCACCCACCCCCTCTCTCTACCCCTCCCTCCTCTCTCCCTCTCCCTTCCCCCCCTCTCTCCCCCCCCCCTCTCTCTCCCCCTACCCCCCCTCTCACCCACCCCCCCTCTCTTCTCTCTCCCCTATCCCCCCCTCTCTCTCCCCTATCCCCCCCCTCACTCTCCCCTATCCCCCCCTCTCTCTCCCCTATCCCCCCCCTCTCTCCCCTATCCCCCCCCTCCTCTCTCCCCTAGCCCCCCCCCTCCTCTCCCCTATCCCCCCCCTCTCTCTCCCCTATCCCCCCCTCCTCTCTCCCCTATCCCACCCTCTCTCTCCCCTATCCCACCCTCTCTCTAATCTCCCCTATCCCACCATCTCTCTCCCCTATCCCACCATCTCTCTCCCTATCCCACCATCTCTCTCCCCTATCCCCCCATCATCTCATCTCTCTCTCCACTACCCCCCCCACCCTCTCTCCTACTCCCCCTAACCTCCATCCCCCCCTCTCCATCCCCCCTTCTCCACCCCCCCCTCTACTCTTCCCCCCGTCTCTTCCCCCTCAACTCTCTTTCTTTTCCCTCTCTCCCCCCTTTTTCTTCCCTATCTTCCCCCCTCTCTCTTCTTCCCCTCTCTCTCTTTCTCACCACTCTCTTTCTTCTTCCCGACCTCTTCTTCTTTCTTCCCCCTCTCTCTTTCTTCATCCCTCTCTCTCATCTTTCTTCCTCTCTCGTCCCCCTTTCTTTTCCTTCCCTATCTCCACTCCCCCTCTCTCCGTCTTTCTTCCCCCTCTCTCACCCCCCTCTCTCTCCTCTCTCTCTCCCTCCTCCTTCACTCTCACTCCTCCTCATCTCTCTCTCCCTCCTCCCCCCTCTCATTCTCTCTCTCCCTCCTTCTCTCTCTCTCATTCCTTCTCTCTCTCTCTCTCTCTCTCCCTCCCTCTGGCGCTCTCTCTCACCCTCTTCTCATCTCTCTCCTCTCTTCTCTCGTCCTCCGTCACTCCTCATTGCCCGTCACACCCCTCCTCTCCCCCCCCTCACTCTCACCCCAACTCTCCCCCTCCTCTCATCCCTCTCTCCCCTCCCTCTCTCCCCCTCTTCCCCCTCCTCTCTCCCCCTCTCTCCCCCGTCCTCACCCCCTGCCTCGCTCCTGCCCCCCTACTCCCCCTCCTCTCTCTCTCCCCCCTCCTCTCTCTCTCCCCTCTCCTCCGCCCCCCTCCCCCCCCTCCTCTCTCCCCCTCCTCTCTCCCCCTCCCCCCTCCTCTCCTCTCCCCCCCCCCCTTCCTCGCCCCTCCTTCCTCTCCCCATGCTCCCCCCTCCGTCATTCTCACCCTTCTCCCCGCCATCTCGCCGCACTTCCTCCCCCCTCTCCCCCCTCTCTCCTCCCTCACACGCCCTCTCCTCTCCCCTCTCGTCACCCTTTCCTCTCCACCCCCCCTCTCTTCGCATCCCTTCTCTCTCCCCCCCTCTCATCCCTTCCTCGCCCCCCACTCTCACTCCCCCCTCCCTCTCTCCCATCTCCTCCCCCCTCCTCCTCTCCCCCCTCCTCACTCCCCTCTTCTCCCTCATCTCTCCCTCTCTCACCTCCTTCCCCCCTCCACGTCTACTCTCCCCCCTCCTCTCCGTCTCCCCCCGCCTCTCCCTCCCTCTTCCTTCGCATCCTCACCTCTCGTCTCCCTCTTCTCTCTCTCCCCCCTCTCTCCTCCCTCCCTCCGCTTCTCTTCTCCCCCCCTCTTCTTCTCTCCCCACCTCTTCTCTCCACCCCTCTTCTCTCTCCCACCATCGTCTCTCCCCCCCACTTCTCTCCCCCCTCTTGCAACCGTCCTCTGTCCCTCTTCTCTCCTCTGTCCCTCGTTCTCTCCTCTGTCCCTCTTCTCTCTCCCCTAATCTCCCCCCCCTTCCCCCTCCTCTTCCCCCCCTCCCCCTCCTTCTCCCCCGCCCCCGCTCTCCCCCCTCCTCTCCCACTCCTCTCCCGCCCCCTCCCCGCGTCCTCTTCGACCCCCCCCTCCCCACCTCTCACCTCTCTCTCCCCACTCTCCCCCATCCTCGCTCATCAACCGCCCCCCTCCACCTCTCCCCCCCTCTCCCCCGCCTCTCCTCCGCCCCCCCACCTTCTCTCTCGCCTCCCCCACACCCCCACCTCTTCCCCTTCACCTCTCCCCCCGCTCGCGCTCATCTCCCCGGCCCACCCCCCTCTCCCCCTCCTCTCCCCCTCTCACCCCTCCTCTCCCCCCCTCTCCCATTCTCACCCCCTCCTCTGTCCCCCTCCTCTCACCCTTCTCGCTCCCCCCTCTCTCTATTCCCCTCTCTCGTTTTCTTTCTTTTCCCTCTTACCCCTCTTTACCTACCCCCTCTCCCTCTCCCTCCCCTCTTTCCCCCCTCTCCCTCTCTCCCTCTCCCCCTCCCCCCTCCTCTCCCCGCCCCCTCCTTTTCTCATCTCTCTCTTCTCCTCTCTCCCCCTCCCTCTCCTCTCCCCCTCGCTCTCCCCCATCTCCCCCCCTCCCCCACCCCCCCTCTCCCCCTCTCCGTCCCCCTCTCGTCCCCCTCTCCTCGTCACCCTCTCTCCCCCCACTCTCCCCTCTCCCCCTCTCTTCCCCCCCCCTCCCCCTGCTCACCCCCTCTCACTCTCCCCCCCCCCCCCCTCTCACACATCAGGAGACACATTTGCCACTCCATGAAATTTGGAGGTGAAGCTGTTTAACTTACAGACACAGACTCCTCCCCCCCCCCTCTTCTCTCTAATCTCCCCTTCTATCCCCCCTTCCTCTCTCTAGTCTCCCGCCCCCTCCCCTTTCTCTATCCCCCCCTCTCATCTCGCCCCCCTCTTTCTCCCTCCCTCTCGCATCTCCCCCCTTTACCCCTCCTTCTCTTCTGTCGTGCTCTCGGGGCCCTCCTCTCTCTCTCTCTCCTCCTCTCTCCCTCTCTCCTTCCATCTACTCCTCCCCTTCCTCCTTTCTCACTCTCCCCCCCCTTCTCTCTCTCTCTCCTCTCTTCCCCCTCCTCTCTTCGTCCCACCCTCCTCTCGTCTCTCCCACCATGATCTCTCGTCGCCACCCTTCTCTCTCTCTCCCTCCCACCCTTCTCTCTCCTCTCCACTCCCCCCTTCTCTCTCTCCCCCCTCCCCCCTTCTCTATCCCTCCCCCCCCCTCCCCCCCTTCTCCGTCTCCCCTACCCCCCCCTCCCCCCTTCTCTCTCCCCCCTTCTCTCTCCCCCTCTCAGCCCTCTCCCCCCTTGCTCTCTCTCCCCGCTCCCCCCTTTCTCTCACCCCTCCCTATTCCTCTCTCCCCCTCCTCCTCCTTTTCCTTTCTCAGTCCCACCTCCCCCCTTCTCTCACTCCTCCATTCTCTCTTCTTTCTTCCCCCCCCTCTTCTCTCCACCCCTTCTCACTCCCCCCTTCTCTCTCCTCGCCTCCTTCCTCTCGTCTCCCCCCCCCCTTCTCTCTCCCCAACCTTCCCTCCTCTCCGCCCTTCTCTCTCTCACCCGCCTTCTCTCCTCCCCCTCACCCCCGCTTCCCTCTCTCTCCCCCCTTCTCTCTCTCTCCCCCCCTTCTCTCTCCCGCCCCCTCCTTCCTTTCTCTCCTCCCCCCCCCTCTCTCCTCTCCCCTCTCTCCCCCCCCTCTTTCCTCTCTCTCACCTCTCCTACCCTCTCTCTCTCATCAGGTTTGAGTAGACTGGGAATTCTGGAATTAGTACAACATTGCTGTTTTCATTGGTTAGTGATGGCTAAAATGCAAAGTCGCAGAGCACTGGTTTCTAGGTACCTGCGTCTTAGGGCCACTGCAGCTTTATATAATTGCTATGACATGCAAATACATTTGCAGTACTGTGTTTTAATGTTACCATTAGTATGTGAATGTTGACCCACTTTAAATGTCTTTTAAATTGAGGATTTTTTTGTGGTGAAGCTACAAATGTGTGAACTATTCAAATCTGTCTTTTGCATTATACGCTATAGATTTTATCTATAACCGTATTTAAAAAAATCTTTTAATTCCATCCCATATCTTGGCATGACATTTATGTGCTCTAATTCTGCTTAAAAATTTGTTTCTTTCATGTCCCTTTTTATCTCAGGCTGTAACTGCGCTAGTAAAGAATTTTCCTAAGCACATGGTGTCATCAATGCAGCAGATTCTACCTATTGTAATGGAATACGCTGACTGAGAGTGCTGCTTTATATCCTTTTTATTCCTGATAATTTTCCCATTGTGATTAATTTGCAAGTCTACACAAATGCTATTGTGGCAAAATTCCTGTTTGTTATATAATAGAATTACCTTCCTTAATTATCCTTCCACTTATGTCAGAACTGAAGTAAATGATACAGAAGATATAGAGGACCCTGTGGATTCTGATGGTTTGTTTTGTTTTATTTGTGAATTTAGGTCACAATATTCCTATATTTAGGTATTTTTTGTGATCAAAAACTTGTTGATGTGGACAAATCCCTATAAAATTGCAAAAGTGTGTGGAACGCATTTGGCTATCCAGTAACCTAAGACTGTGTGCAGGACTTAAACGTATATTTATTAAAGCATCTTTAAAATTATTGTGAAACTTAAAGCAGTATTAAACCCAAAAGAAAACATTCATTATGTTGCAGCTTACCAATTCTAAGATGTGGTGGCTGCCTTAGTTTTTTTTTTTCCTTTATTTTCATCCAGTGATCCAGCCAGTAGTTGTTGTTTTTCAGCAGAAAAAGCTCTCCTGCAAATGTAAACAGTTAAAGGGTTGAGACAAACCAAATTACCAGTGACAGAGGTGCTTACAATGGTCAGCTTTATTTATCCATGTAAAACCTTTACAAATATAAATCTTAGTCCATCTAACACTCACAGACCCCCTCCCCCCAAGACTGACAATGCTGCTCTTCAAAGGTGTTGCCTGTATTCCTTCATCCAGAGTGGGGGCAATACAGAAGGTGTGTTACTGGCCAGATTACCAGGTAAGGGAGGGAAAAAAAGAACCTAAAAATGAATTAATGCAACCACCACATGTATGGAATGTTAGCAGCAATATATTACATTTATGGTTTATTATCATATTCAATTATTGGTTTACTGTCTATAGAATTAACAATTACATTAAATTTTAATGTTACAAATTATGTAATGATGTGACTAGCTATATATTGTTTTAGGCCCCTTTCACACGGGACGGTTCTGGTTTTGCTCAGCAGGTGATCCATGAACTGATACCCCGCTGAGCTGGCGGATGGGCAGGTCTGTGTCTGCTCTGCTTATGCAGAGTGGACACTGACATATCCTGCTCTCTTCAGTGGGCAGATGGATGTAAACGGACAGGCTGTCCATTTACAACTGACTGCCCACCGATCTGGCCAGACAGAGGAGAGCGGATCCCCCTTCCTTTTTGTTTTTGCCGGATCAGAAGTAGCTGGGTGTAAACGGACATAAGTCAGTTTACATCTGAATGCCCATGGAGGAGAATGTAGGGGTCTGGTCGTGTCCGTCAGAAAAACAGACAGGCGGACCCGACAAGACCACCCGTGTGAAAGGGGCCTTAAGTGTATCTAATGGCGAAACTATGGACAGTGGGAAAGAGTTTTATAGTTACACAGGTTAAAAAAGGATGCAAGCACATCTAGTTCAACCATCGAAAAAGTAACTAAATAGAAAACCTCCAGAATCCTACATCCACAGGATTCTGATGGACTTGGAGGAAGGTAAACCTCTATAAATCATGCACCAATTTACTGCAGCGGAGGAAAAATATTTTTCTTCCTGATATCCCAAAGACAATTGGATGTTCTTTGGATCAGCAATCCCTGGTGTTGTCTTTTGATATACAGCAATATTTTAATCATTTAGAAATGCATCCAGCCCTTTTTTCAAAATTCTCTATAAAGTTATCATTACTGTCTGTGTCCCCAGTGTGGGTATTCATCTTATTGATTTGTCTTGGTGACCATTGTTGCAGTGACAGAAGTGAGAAGAATTCCAATACTGGATTTTCTACAGAAAAAAAGAGGCAAGGGGAAATCCTCCAATTGGGACACTTGTTCTGGTGACAAGGTGGAATCCACTCACTTTGCAGAGATTTTGTCTTACTGTTGCATCACGAGAACAGGAGATTTTCAACAGGACAAAAAAAGCCCTTTAACCTTAGCCCTTAACCCTTTCCTACTCCATCCAAACTAAAAACAAATGTATTGTCTGTACTTACACTTTAAATACTTTTGCGTCTGTTGAATTAATTTTTGTTCTTGCTTTTCATCCTACCAGGTGAAGTTTTAGGATTTGAAAATCTGGTGTTTAGTATCTTTGAGTTTGTGCACACCTTGCTAGAGAACAAGTTTAAAGGGACAGTGAAAAAAGCTCTTCCAGAGTTGTTCTACTACATTATACTCTACATGCAAATCACAGAAGAACAGGTAAGAAGCTAGATACAGTAGATATGATGTACAGCTTTTGGATGTCCACTGCTAAGCTTAGTGACTTCTTTAGACATTGAATATGTATAGCTGTGTAACAGGAGAGAAAACAGACCTTGGAATGAGCAGGTTATGAAGCATGGGTCTTGTGCTAGCTTTGTTGCTAAGATCATAACTAAAATATCCTTATTTTGTTTTCTAGATAAAGGTGTGGACTGCAAATCCTCAGCAGTTTGTTGAAGATGAAGACGACGACACATTTTCATACACTGTTCGAATAGCTGCCCAGGATCTTTTGCTAGTGAGTGAAACGCATTGCAAATAATGTATTAAGTAGAGAGTGCTTAAGAGAAGTTTGTTAGAAAAGACTGCAGCCGTAAAGTCCAGCAAGAAAGAAACTTACTATATTTGTGATTTGTTTTTATGGTATTGTTGACAGACTACTTAAAACCTGTGCAATTACACCACTGTGTTATAATGACTGCACTATTATGACTGCACATAATATTTCTGTTTTCCCGTTGTTTATAGGCAGTATCCAGTGAGTTTCAAAATGAGAGTGCAGTCGCACTTGCTGCTGCTGCTACACGTCATCTGCAGGAGGCCGAACAGATAAAGAGCCAAGGGGCAGAGCACTGGTTAATATAGCTTATATTTTTTGAAAACACAGTTAAAGGGAAACAATAATTTTTTCGGATGGTATTTATTTGCTTTGCACAATGAAATATTTGTAGAGAAAGCCCAGCAAGTAGCATATTTTGTCTACCTAAAACCTTGGGCAGAGCTATGCAGAGAGGAAGTGACAGAGGGGTTACTCTGACAGATTTACTATGTTTGTAAATTACAGTTTGAAATTTTGAGCTCTGTGAACAGGTTTATAAGAACAGAAGCTTAAGAGAAAATGTAAAACATGAATGGAAGACTAGAACTCCCCTTACTGGCTAAATAGAATACAAAATATGTATGTGATATTTTAGATTTACCTGATGATAAAGTTTAATTATATTTTTAGTTCTGACCATAAGGAAAAAAGAAAATGTGTAAAAAAAAAAAAAAAAAACAAAAAAAAAAACTACAAAATATTTCTATTAAATTGTAATGTTGGGCATAATGTCCCACACCTGACTCCAGAAAAGTGCCTATGACAATAGGGACAATAGTGAGATTATCCTATATTTTTATAACTTTTGAACTCCTATATGATATTCAACAATACTTATGTTATGTGTATATGTATGAAGCTGTCAGCACTAATTATGCATAGTTGCCAACCAAAACTACCTACAGCAGGTAAAATAAGTATTGAACCCATCACCATTTTTCTCAATAAATATATTTCTAAAGGTGCTATTGACATGAACATTTCACCACATGTTGGTAACAACCCATGCAATCCATACATACTAAGAAACCAAAACAAATATGTTCAGAAATTAAGTTGTGTAATAAAATGGAATGACACAGGGAAAAAGTATTGCACACATGAAGAAAGGGAGTTGCAAAAAGGCATGGAAAGCCAAGACACCAGTCGAAATATATCAGTAATTAGAAAGCAATCCTGCCTCTTCTCAGTGCAATTTAATATCAGCTGGTTCAGTCTCAACTGATTGCCTATAAATAGGTGTCTAATTACCAAGGTGTCACACAAGAAACATCTCCTGATGGGTAAAAGTAGAGATGCACCGATACCGGTATCGGTGCCAATACTGAGTATTTTCATGAGTAGTCATGAAAATATTCCTAATACCTTAATTGATACTTTGTGGTGCGATTCTGCGTTAATGGGTGCAAATTGCACCACAAAGATTAGCATGCGATTTGAACAGGAATGCTATTACTGTCCAATTTGCATGCGGTTTCCCCACTGCTCCTGTGTGAACCCAGGCGTGTCATAGCCCAAGTTCACACAGAAGTGGTACGGGAAACCTCCCTGCAGGTATTCCATGCTGAGTTTCAGTGGTAGGAGAGAAAGCGACAGGGATTTGACATTGAAGAGGAAAGAAATCGGCGGGGATTTCAAATCCTTGGCGTTTTCTCTCCTCTCTTACCACAGACATTCAGCATGGGATGCCTGCTGGGAGGTTTCCCACACTGCTCTGAGTGTGAACTCGGGCTATGACAAGTCTGGGTTAACACAGGAGCAGCAGGGAAACCGCATGCGATTTGGATAGGAATCGCATTCCTATTCAAATTCCATGAAATTTTTTGTGCTGCAATTTGCGTCCAGTAATGCAAATCACACTGCAAAGTATCGGTACTCAGTATTGGCAAGTACTTGACTGAAAGTATTGGCACTTGTACTCGCCAGTAAAAAAAAAAAAATATCAGTGCATCCCTAGGTAAAAGCAAAGAGCTTTCTCAAGACCCTCTCAACCTTATTGTTGCAAAACATACTGATGCCATTGGTTACAGAAGGATTTCTAAACTGAATGTTACAGTAAACACTGTTGAGACCATAATCCTGAAGTGGAAAGAACATCATTTCACCATAAACCGGCCACGACCAAGTGCTCCTCGCAAGATTTCTGACAGAGGAGTGAAAAGAATTGCCAAAAGAGTAGTCCAAGTGACAAGGACCACTTGTGGAGAGCTTCAGAAAGACCTGGAATTAGCAGGTACAATTGTTTCAAAGAAAACAAAACAATACGTAATGCATTCAACCGCCATGGCTGACCTGTACGCGCAATCACCACGCAAGACTCCATTGCTGAAGAAAAAGCATGTTAGAGCTTGTTTAAAGTTTGCTGTACAACATTTGGACAAGCCTATGAAATACTGGGATAATATAGTATGGTCAGATGAGACTAAAATTTAACTCTTTGGATGCCATAATACACACCATGTTTGTAAGTCAAATGGCACTGCATAATGCACATCACCCCAAAAACACCATACCAATAGTGATGTTTGGAGGTGGAAACATCATGGTGCGGGGCTATTTATAATACGGTACTGACAAACTTCATGTCATTGAAGGAAGGATGAATGGGAAAATGTACCAAGGCATTCTTGATAAAAATCTGCCAGAATGAAGATGAAACGAGGGTATGCATTTCAGCAAGACAATGATCCCAAACACAAAGCCAAGGAAACTCTCAATTGGTTTCAAAGAGAGAAAATAAAGCTGCTAGAATGGTCTAGCCAATCTCCTGACTTGAATCCAACAGATAATCTATGGGAAGAACAAAAGATCAGAGTTCATAGAAGAGGCCCACGGAACTTTCAAGATCTGAAGACTGTGTGGAAGAATGGGCCAAAATCACACCTGAGAAATTTATGTAACTAGTTTCCACATACAGAAGGCATATTCAAGCTGTCATTACCAAGAAGGATTTTGTACAAAGTATCAAGTAAATTTCGGTTAGCGTGTTCAATACTATTTCCCTGTGTCAATCCATTTTTATTACACATAACTTAATTTCTGAACTTATTTGTTTTTGTTTCTTTGTACGTATGGATTGCATGGTTTGTTACCGACATGTGGTGAAATGTTCATGTCAATAGCACCTTTTAGAAATATATTTATTGAGAAAAATGGTGATGGGTTCAATACTTATTTTACCTGCTGTAGGTAGTTTTGGTTGGTAACTATGCATAATTTAGTGCTGACAGCTTCATACATATACACATAACATAAGTATTGTTGAATATCATATAGGAGTTCAAAAGTTATAAATATATAGGATAATCTTACTATTGTCCCTATTGTCATAGGCACTTTTCTGGAGTCAGGTGTGGGACATTATGCCCAACATTACAATTTAATAGAAATATTTCGTTAGTTTTTTTTACACATTTTCTTTTTTTTTCCTTGTGAAAATGCTGAAAATGTAATGTCAATAGCACCTTTAGAAATTTATATTTGCCGAGAAAAATAGTGGTGGGTTCAATACTTTTTACCCACTGTATAACAGATTGTGCGATAAGTGTCCAACTATGGTGATTGGCATTCTAGTGGCTAAGCCAAGATATGGAAAAATGTTATTTTGGTGAGGTGGGAAACATACTGCCATTGCTAAAAAGGTTTATCTTGCATCATTGAAGGCTTTCTGTCAGTTGAATATGTAACTGAAATTCAGCTTTAGTGTTAGGGCTAAGGCTTGTAAGATGCTAATCACACTACACACTACTGCACAGCAGATGCTATTTGGGCTGACATAGTGTATATCTGTGTGTGTGTGTGTAATATGCAATTTTTTAGTTGTAGTAAAAAAGTAAATTAACTGAATATGATTATATGTTTACTATGCTTGAGTTTGGTATAAACAGAACATGCTGTGATTGTGCAGGTGGAAGATACACGAGGCTTGCATGCTGGCCTTGGGCTCAGTGAAGTCTGTAATTATAGATGGTGTGCAAAGTGGACGAGTTCAGTTTGACATGCCTGGCTTCTTAACTGGTGTCATTCTTGCAGACCTTAATCTTTCAGGTATGTAATTTGCAGGTGGAAAAAATATAGCAAAATAAATACTTAACCATGTATGTTTTTTCACCTCTGTGTCATGTGCCAGCTTTGCTTTTAGCAGTGTTTCTCATTTGGTCCTCATATCCCTCTGTCATTGCATGTTTACAAAGAGTGCTGTACTTTTGCATAGCACCAGAACTCAGAAAACTCAATTGCATAAGTTGGAGCAATATTGGAAGATCAATGTAAATGTTTATAGCATAATCAGTGTTATTGTTCAGAACTATTCAATTGCCTGCTGTCATGGAGGATGTTAAAGTACAACTAAAGGCAAAAACTTGTGGGTTTTTTTTTTCGTTTTGGATGGAGTCGAAAGGGAATAGAACACCAGTCAGTTTTTATTGCTCTGTACCCTCGTTAGGGAGATTCACCCTCTATATTTGATCTGTTTACCATTATCATTGAACGTAAAAAGAGAACCCCAAATTTGGGTTGTCCCCAGACAACTAAGAGGGGCAATCTTCCAATGGAGATACTAGTTCTGGTGACCTGGGAGTCCCCTTAGGAATCCCTTTAATTTGATGGGATTTTCTCTCACTCCGTTTGGCTATGGGACAGGAAGTGAAGGGACGTCTCCCCAATGGGACAAAGATGGAAAAAAAGTAAACTGACAGGGTTTTGACAACCTGCCCTTCCCCTTACTCTAACCAAAATGAAAAAAAAAAAATTGTCTATTTCTACCTTAAGGAATGTATAATGGTTATATGAGGAATAATAAACATTAAAGTGTGGGTTACCAGTTTGTTTGTTTTTTTCTGTCTCCCTGTCAGTTTCTCCTTTTCTCTTGGGACGTTCGCTTTGGGCTGCCAGTAGATTTACAGCTGCAATGTCACCAGAGCTGATACAGCAATTTCTTCAAGCCACAGTCAGTGGGCTGCATGATAACCAGCCACCCTCAGTAAGAATATCTGCCGTCCGAGCTATCTGGGGGTAAGAGAATGAAATTTTATTTCAGTTAAAAGATTTTGACTTTTCTTTGCTTAGTTGTCCATTGTTGGTTTTAGATACTGTGATCAGCTGAAGATGATCTCTGAAAGCACTCATGTGCTCAGCAGCCATTCTTGCCCAGTGTGGTTGATGGACTTATCCACCTGGCAGCACAATTCACTTCTGAAGTTCTTAATCTGGTAATGGAAACACTCTGCATTGTCTGCAGTGTGGATCCAGTGTTTACAGCCAATGCTGAATCCAAAATCTGCCCTTTCACGATCGCTATTTTCCTCAAGTATAGCAATGGTAAGTAATGTGAATGAGTGGGTTTAATTTCAATAACATTTGTCAACTGTCATTTCTTGTAACTTACATGTGTGTGTTGTTTATGTTTTGTGTGGGGTTTTTTTTGTTTTTGTTTGTGTTTATTTTTTGTTTTTAACTTCATTTTGCTTTTCAGATCCTGTTGTCGCTTCTTTGGCTCAAGACATTTTTAAAGAGCTTGCTCAGATAGAGGGATGTCAGAGTGCCATGCAGATGAGGCTTATTCCCACTTTGGTCAGCATAATGCAGGCTCCTTCTGAGAAGATCCCAAGTGGTCTCTGTGCGGTGAGTTCTTGGTTCTTACAATAACCAAAATGCATGCCTATTAGGGTAATTTATAATCCTTTTTCAATGTTTTTTATTTATAAAACTGTTTTGTTGTGAAATTATCATGGGTTCTTGGTTATATAAAAAAGTACATGCAGCTATAAGATCATGAATTAATAAATGACACATGCATACAAATTAGAGTAGTGCAATTTATTTTCTCTAGTATTCATTAATCATCTTCTTTTTTGTTTAAATCGGATCATTTTTTTAATTAAAAGTTGAGTCTCCACGTACTCGCACTTGTTCATAGAGAAACACCAATGTGGAGATCGTACAGTATACAGACAGGACCTTTAACCGCTTCCCGACCGCCCTATAGTACTGCTATAGGGAGGCAGGGATGCACAAGATCATTTATATATAGATAATATATATATATATATATATATATATATATATATATATATATATATATATATATATATATAGATTTTGTATTTCCAGGTAGGGAGTGTGCGCACGCTTCCTGCGCTGCTATTGGCTCCTCGGCATGTCAGTCACCGGGTCCTGGACGCCAATTCTCGGTCGGGACTTGGTGATCGTCGGTGGAGCTGACGGGAGAGTTCTGTATGTAAACAATACAGATCTCTCCCCTGTCAGCACGAACATTCACACACAGCAGAGCAATACAAAGCAGCTTGTTTTCCTTGTAAAACACACACAGCACACTTAGTAAAACAAACACCGCACTCAGTTAACCCTTTGATCGCCCCAGATGTTAACCCCTTCCTGCCCAGTGTCATTAGTATAGTGTCAGTTCTTTTTATTCACACTGATCACTGTATAAGTGGCAGTGGCAGTTAGTCACTTCCCTCCCAGTGTCACAATGCCTGCCGTAGTCCTGCAGTAAGTTGCTGATCGCTGCCATTACTAGTAGAAAAAAAAATTAAACTTCCAGTATATATACCGCCATTTGTAGATGCTATAACTTTCATGTAAACCAATTAATTTACACGTATTGGAAATTTTTTTTTTTTTTTTTAGCAAAGTCGTAGCAGAATATATTTTGGCCTAAATTTATGACGAAATTATATTTTTTTAAATTTTTTTATTAGACATGTTTAATAGCAAAAAGTAAAAAAAAGTTTTTTTGTTTTTTTTCCCCAAAATTGTCGGTCTTTTTTTGTTTATAGCGCACAAAATAAAAAACTGCATAGGTGATCAAATATCACCAAAAGAAAGCTGTTTGTGGGGAAAAAAAGGACATAAATTTAATTTATGTACAATGTTGCATGACCTTGCAATTGTCAGTTAAAGTAATGCAGTGCTGTTTCACAAAAAATGGTCTGGACAGGAAGGGGGGGGTAAGTGGTTAAAAGGAGAGTTAAACTCAATATCCTGCTTCCAGATGGTGTAGATATCTGACGATACATAGGTGCTCCCAAATAGATTTAAAGAAATGGCATGTGTGTAGACCACAACATACATAAAAAGTTAGAAAAAAGAAAAAACCCATATAAAAATAGACTAAACTTTTGTAAACAAGCTGTCTTGATGTGTCCATCTGCATTGAGTAATATGTAAGTTTTTGGTTTCAAATGGGTAGACTCGACATACAGTTGTGTTCAAAATAATAGCAGTGTGTTGAAAAAAGTGAATAAAGCTCAAAATCTTTCTAATAGCTTTTATTTTCATACACACAAATGCATTGGGAACACTATACATTCTATTCCAAATCAAAACATGAAGAAAAATATATCAAATTTGTGTTGTTCCTCTAAAGAAATTGAAGAAAAGTGAATATTAGACTGTTCAAAAAAATAGCAGTGTTTGTATTCTTCTTTACAAACTCAAACATTCACTAATATAAGCTGAAAAATGTTTGAAGATTTTGCTTTCCTTTGAATCAATTAATATTTAGTTGTATAAGCACTGTTTCTGAGAACTGCTGTACATCTGTGTTGCATGGAGTCAACCAACTTCTGACACCTGTGAACAGGGTATTCCAGCCCAGGATGATTGGACTACATTCCACAGTTCTTCTCTATTTCATGGTTTTGCCTCAGAAACTGCATTTTTGATGTCACCCCACAAGTTTTCTATCAGATTAAGATCCGGGGATTGGGCTGGCCACTCCATAACGTCAATCTTGTTGGTCTGGAACCCAGATGTTGCACGTTTACTGGTGTGTTTGGGGTCGTTGTCTTGTTGGAACACCCATTTCAAGGGCATTTCCTCTTCAGCATAAGGCAGTATGACCTCTTCAAGTATTCTGATGTATTCAAACTGATCCATGATCCCTGGTATGCGATAAATAGGCCCAACACCGTAGTATGAGAAACATCCCCATATCATGATGCTTGCGCAACCATGCTTCACTGTCTTCACAGTGTATTGTGGCTTGAATTCAGTGTTTGGGGTCGTCTGACAAACTGCCTCCGGCCACTAGACCCAAAAAGAACAATCTTACTTTCATCAGTCCCCACAAAATGTTGCACCATTTCTCTTTAGGCCAGTCAATGTGCTCTTTGGCAAATTGTAACCTCTTCAGCATGTCTTTTTTTCAACAGTGGAACTTTGCAGGGGCTTCTTGCAGATAGCTTGGCTTCACATAGGCGTCTTCTAATTGTAACAGTACTCACAGGTAACTTTAGACCTTCTTTGATCTTCTTGGAGCTGATTGTTGGCTGAGTCCTTGCCATTTTGGCTATTCTTCTATCCATTCCAATGGTAGTTTTTTCGCTTTCTTCCACGTCTTTCAGGTTTTGGTTGCCATTTTAAAGCATTTGCAATCATTTAGCTGAGCAGCCTATCATTTTTCTGCACTTCTTCATATGTTTTTCCCTCTCCAATCAACTTTTTAATCAAGGGACGCTGTTCTTCTGAACAATGCCTGGAACGACCCATTTTCCTCAGAATTTCAGAGAGAAATGCGCACTGTAACCAGCATGTACAACATTTGCTGCCCTCCTTCCTTAAATAAGGGCAATAATTGCCACCTGTTTTTCAAAGAATGAATGACCTCACTAATAGAACTCCACACTGCTATTATTTTGAACGTTCCCCTTTCAATTAGTGATTTAATTACACAGAATCAGCAGCATGCATGTCATGACTGTTGGGTCTGTTGGATTTCTATTACTCTACTACACCTGCTAGTAAATTATTTGCCATGTAGAAATATCCTTTCTACCTAATACCGTGATTGATCAGGTTAGTGATGTCTGACTGCTATTATTTTGAACACAACTGTATATGAGGTGCCCCAATTCATTATCTCTGTGAAGGTTCCTCATAATGAACTGAATAATTGTTAAACAATTTTCAAAAGAAGTGGCTTTAAAAGGGACTTATTTTTAAATATACCTGTATATTTATTCAGTCACCACTTGATAATTAAAGAATGTGCTTACAATTTTACCCAGAATTCGGCTTATGGTGCTATGTCATCTTTGCAACTGTTCCCCTACTTGTATTTATATAATGCTTTTTCTGAAAACCTGAAATAAAACGTCAGTATCATAATAACTTAAGGCCCAGCAGCAATAAAAATGTCTAGGTGCTGTGGTTTATTGCTCTGGAAAGGCTCATAGCTGATAGATGGTAGTGAATGCCTTGAGGACCATTACAGATGAGTGATTGTAAAGTCCGTATTTTTTTTGTTGTTTGTTTTAATAACGAACATGTTTACCTGCTCTGTGCAATAGAATTGCACAGTGTCCCCAAAACTTCTCTTTGTAGGTTTCCTGCTGGAGCCCCTGGCAACTCCCCTTCTTTCTGTGCCCCCCATAGCAAGCTACTTGCTTTGGGGGCACACCTGTGGGCTTGATCGTGAGCTCCGTGCCTGCATCCATAGACAGCGTGGCTCGGCCCTGCACCCCTCGTCGCAGGACTTGACTAACAGCAGCGGGAGCCAATGGCTTCCGCTGCCTCAGCAAAGCCTGTGAGAGCTAGAAGAAGTAGAGAGAGCCACTACAAATGGGGCACAGTGTTGGATTGGGTGAGGTAATTATTGGGAAGGGGGGGCGATATTGCTACCTAAACATTTTTACCTTAATTCTGGGAATGCATTAAGGTAAAAAAAATTCGGCTTTAAAACCTCTTTAATACCGTGTTTCCCTGAAAATAAGACAAGCCCTAGTGGTACTTTTTGACGTACCGCTAATATAAGCCCTCCCCCGAAAATAAAATCTACCTCCACCAGGGGAGAACTGACCATCTCGGGCAGTGCCCCGAGGACCCGGGGTCACTGCAGGGCCCCATGAGAGGCTCAGTTTGTCCCTGTATGTGCCGCTTCTGATATAAGCAGGCATTGAGGGGATGGACAGTGAGGCAGGCACTGCAGACACCTCTCCTCGGAGTTTCAGTAGAGGGACGGGTCCACAACCCTGCCACGGTGCTGAAGATGGAGTGCTGGAGGGGCGGGCAGAGTATGCAGCAGGTCAGTGTAATCCCCCAACCCTGGTGACAGTACTACAGCTTCATGTAGGAGGAGAAAGAGGGCAGAGAGAGAGAAGGCAGAGAGAGAGAGGGCAGAGGGGGGGGCTTGCTTTGAAACATACTTTTTTGTAGAGCTGGTTAGGTTGCAAGCCGACGATCCCCGCAGGATGGATCGGATCTGCGGATTGGGGAGGATAATGGATCGGACTCCGATCCATTATGCTCAATCCGCAGATCCGATCCATCCTGCGGGGATCATTAGAGGGGGTGTCAATAAAAATAAGACCTACCCGAAAATAAGCCCTAGTGCATTTTTGTAACCTAAAATTAATATAAGACAGTGTCTTATTTTCGGGGAAGCACGGTAGTATATAATTCATGTTACATATTTTTACAGCTTAATGGTTTCCAATACCATTTCTATGCTGATAACACACCAAATCTATCTCTCTGCTCCTCAGCTCACCCCATCAGTTTGCACACACGTATCACCGATTTACTAACAGACATATCAGACTGGATGTCACACCACTTCCTAAAACTCATATCAAAAACTGAGCTCATAATTATTCCTC